TGGGTACCAATCTAGTTGACGCCGCAGGAAACTCCTGCCACGCCAGTAAAAAAAAAAAAAAAAAATTTACTGCTTGGAATATTATTAACTCTCTGAGGTAGAAAATGCCATTTAAATATTATAACAGTATACCCTGCTGTACTCTGAAACTCTATAACAGACTGAAAAGAAAAGACAAATGTGATCTTATATTTCACCCAGTTTGAAGATCATGGTAACAATAGAACTATCAGCTTTCAACATCCAGTCTTGTTTTGCTTGTCTGCATTAAAATGTTCTGTTTCTCCACCTTCCTGCGGTTTTTCTTTTTGCTTTTCTGCCTCCGGTCGGAAATCTACAACGGGAAATGAAAGGGAAGCTTTCTTTAGAGTTCAAGTCTGAACTTGAAATGCCATCACTTGAATGTGATCAACTTAACAATTTAACCCTGAAACCACAACTATGGACCTTAAAAGACTGAAATTTCTTTGTTCAAGGGGGATGGACACAGTATGCTTAGTTTCTTGTCCCTTGTATGTATAACAACATGTACTGATCTGTTTTCCCCTATGAGTGCAGTCAGTTTTTAAACTATCCAAAGTCCAGCAGCATTATTGACCATACAGGATCTGATTTTTGTTAAGATGTGCGGGTATCTTAGATACAAATAATGAAAGGGTGACACGATTCAGGTGCTAAGAACTACTCAGAAGTGGAGCAATAGCTTACCAGGAGGTCCCCCATCAGGAGTGAAGTTGTAAACAACTTTAGCTTGTAGTTTACTCAATATCTGCAGTTGTGGCAAAATGCGGAATAAATCTATAAGAATCCTTGTACTTCTAGACCCTTTATTGCGTGACACCTCAGCGGCTAAGGCATCGATATAAAAATTGTGTAATTTCTTCACTAGCTCTGCATTTTGCAGTCCTTCACGATCTGGAAATATGTCATACACTCTAGTTGGAAAAAATCAACTACTGTGTCAAGAAGGTAATGAATATAGAGCAATTTATTATCTTAATGATATAACATGCACAACAGAATTTATAAGCACCTTTCAATTCAGGTCACAACAACTGTCAAACTTTATGTTTAAAATCCTATTATATGTACAAAATCCTACTTTGCACATAAGTATCTTATAATATGATAAAACTTATTACAGCGAATCTGTAAAAAAAAATAATTAACTGGAATAATCAACATTATCAATTTTCCTTTCTTTTAATATAAGCAAATTACTCTGATAGCACAATACTGAAATAATACAGTAACAATTCTCTCAAAAGAGCAAAAAAATGATCTGAATTTAAAAATCCCACATAAAAACTTACGATCAGTCATGACAACTGCACACAACAGTCCATATTCTGCAGGATTGAATGAGAGGCTGTTCAGCTCATTGGCAATGATAAACATTAAATCTACCAGGTCTTTGGGTAGAAAACGTCTCATCCATGTCACTGTATAGCGAAGATCGGGCTGTGGCATAAGGAAAGACACCCCATCTCTCAGCAATGGTGATGAAATAGTCTTGCAAAAGAGGAAAATATGAGACATGGTAAATACCAACACTGTTGTGAACTAATTCTAACTATATGCTGATGTGCCAAATTAATGATTCTGCTTTCTGGAAAAACTAAAGAAGAAGGAAACACATATCTCTTAAACTGTGCTGTCCATTAATTAGGAAGAAAGGTAGTTCCCTTTCCTCTTTAAATTAATTCATAAATACCAGTGACAGTGATAGTAATAAAAAATTTGATATTTAAAATTTAATTTAAAATTTATTGTCAATTATGTCTTTTTGTCAATTGCTTAGGGTGAGTTTGCTTATTAGGAATTGTATTTCCCCTGCAATTTTGCTTGGAAAAGAAAACATGAGAGCTGGATACTTTTATAATGGTCAAAAATAGCACTTTTGTTGAAAAAACAAACACATTTACCATGATAATTACAGACCCACAATTCACCAAGAAGATGCACTTCATATACACCTACCATCCACATATCAAGATAAGACGACTTCACCAACAATGCTTTATCAGGTAAGGAGTCAAAACCAGGTATCTCAGCACAAAAACCTATAAGTGAACATTCTTGTGAATTCAGCAGGTATATTATATACAGGAAGGCAGGAATAAATCAGTCCTGTATCACACAGAACCCCACATCAAGATGAAGATTCCACACATTATAAGGCTAGTAACTCAAATATGTGAGCAATATTATATTTGTAAATACTATGGAGTCCATAAGTAATAAGTGATCCATCACTGATATATTAATCAAAATTTCATCTGTCAGTATATGCTAGTGGTATGAAGAATTCAGCAAATTGTCAGATTCAGTTTTAAGCAATGCAATATCTATGATTCTTGCATGACAGAATTATAATGTTACCGTCTTATTTAATATTTACTGTGTTAAAATCAGAGCAGTTCAGTATGATTCCAGATTTCTTTCATCATAAAATGGACCAACATTACTAAAAATATACCATATACCTTAAATTAAGGTTTGTTTTCAACGAATACTTTCAACAACAATGAGTAGTCATTTGTTTCATCGAGAATATGTTTCCTTTTGCTCTTTCATTCAATGCCAAGCATTCCTTAATTTACTGCTAAAACATGCATGATGCTAGCATTGGATAAAACAAAAAAGTTCAGACTGGCAAGTGCTTGATGTCACATTCGAAAAACAAAGTAATGACTCACCTAAAATGGAACTTGTTGTATTGTCAATTGAGTCAAAAAGTGCCTTCCACAGTTTTTCAGCATTCTCTTTTGAGTGGGGCAAATCATATTTTGTGAACTAAAATAAACACATACACATATATAGTATATATAATAATAATAACAATAACAACCAACTCAAATTTAAAAAGCTTAAATTTTGTCCATCAAATGTTAGTAAAACAAGACCTAAACATTTTACTTTTCACAAGTCATTAACAAAGAAAAACAAAGACAGCTTTGTCTGCATTTATATTGTCATGCTAACAAAAAGTAACTTTTTGTACAAAATCATGGAAAATTGTTGTAAAAAATAAAACTCCTGTAATAATCAAACACCTGTTTAAGGTTTTAAGTTTTAAGGTAGATATCTAAATAACAAGTGTCAATTTTAAAATTTTGGATAAAGTAACAAATATATTGAAAGCTTTCTATTTATAATATGGCACTAATACATATGCTTTGACATTTCTGTCGCTGCTACTGATTCAGAAGTAGTTAGTTAACAACATTTCAGCAGCTGCTCTCGACAAATTATTTTTGGTTATTAAAAACATATCATGCACTTAACTTAAACCAAGTCTGAGTGGTAAATATAGGTTACTCACATCTTCTTTGCCAATCCTGTCAGCAACATCAATGGCAATTTTCATGTGCTTCCTGTATACCAATTCCAATGTATGTGCTATCTCCTTATATATGCTGCTCTTAGATAATCTTCTGCTGTATGGCATGTTATACAGCTCAATTGCCTTATAAAATTCCTCATCACTGGCATCTTCTGTGTCATTTTGGCTTCTCGTGTTTTCAATGCCAGCTCCCACACCGTTCTGTTCAATATCATTGTGTCCTAACTGCACTGGCTCTGATGAACTAACATACTGGTCAAACTCTTCTTTAAATGATTCTAAACGGTGCTGATCCACCAGTCCAAACTGAATATTTAAGGATGAATTATGTCCGTTGAGACGCATGTTGTTATTGTTGTTGTGCTGTAGTTGTTGTGGCTTCATAAATGTTGAGTGATGTGCACTGTTGTTGAAACTCCTTCCACCGCCTGCCTGGCTCATCAAACCTACCATCTGCTGGGCTGTGTTAAAGGCAATAGTGTGCTGCCTGGCTGTTGTGGAGGAGGAGGAGGAGGAGGAATAGGGCATATTCTGAATGCAGTCAGGCCTGAAATGCCCCCCTTCACTTTTCACCTCCATTCTCCCGCCTGACATTGAGTGATTGCCAGAGCTCAACTGTGCAGGGGACGCCATAGGCTGTGCATTGTACTGCATCAACAAACCCTGGTCACAAACTACCAGGCCATTGTCCCCCTGTCCAACTTCGGCCACCTGGGTCGACTTACATTTCTCGAGGAGTTTCTGCGCAATCAACTGCTGTATGTCTGGATTGCCCTGGGTGGTTTCAATCACCTGGCTCAGGAGTTCTTTGATAACGTCTGGACTGTAGAAACGCTGAGGCCTGGGGACTGGAGCATCTGATTCTGATGAGGTGAAGGATCCATTCAATGACGACAGGCTGGCTCTGCCTTTTTCTGGAAAAAATGTGAAATCAATATTAAATCATATTCATACTAACACAAAATATATAGCCACTGTCATTCAAATATGAAGCTTAGGAACATAAATAAATTATTTAAATGTCAGTAATAAAATTAATAAAAGAAAACAAAGGGACTGAATGGGAATCTAACTCACTCTGCTGTGTTTGGCAGCCAAGGACGTTACCACGCGGCCTGCAATCTTGCTGTCTGATATAGTGTTATTGACAATATATGATACCTGTCACACATGCTGAAGCTTTATGGAAATTGCCTAAGGCTAGAAAATGCCTCCAAAATATACTTTTAACAGTTTTAATCAAATTCAAACTATGGCCACTATCTCCCCACTGCCCTAAAGTATTGCTAACCCCTGTCAGTTGTCAACAGAGTGTTGTAGTTTGGGAGAAAAATGTGAAAAGGAAACTTCGGCTGATCTGCTATTGCAACATAAATGATCCTTCTTCTATGCCCTTAAAGACGTAACATCCCCTTCATTCAATTTAAATAAATAAAATGTTAATAGTTCCTCATCTTAATGAAGAATTATTCACTTTTTATCATTACTGTTATGTTCAAAGTCAACTATTGGAAACTTGGGCATACATCTTTGTGAACAAGTAGTCTTTATTCAACTCCTCAGTCAGCCAACACGTTCAAAGATATAACCTTAGAAAAAGAAAAATATCTTTCCTAAGACTATGCCAATTAAATTTAAAAATAACTANGTTTTTTCTCCTAAGACTTAAGATATTTATGATTTATACTACACCTCATGGCAGGTATTATGTTATTATGACTCTCTATAAATAATATGTTTTTACACCTGGACAACTTCAATGTACTAAAATAGCACTTAGAGCAATTATACAAATTGTTTCTCATATCTTAGAGTATTTGGCTCATTTAACTGGGCAGAAAGTATTGATTTTTAGAAATGGTGCCACCTTTTACACAACACCAAGCATATATCTGTCAGGAGAGGGTGATCATGCCAGAAGGTGGATACCCCCCTCATCTAAGAACTTGCGCTTATAAAACTATTCATTAAAACTTAATGGAATCCTTCTCACTGTTATTATTTGAAAATAATTTGTATGGGTACCAATCTAGTTGACGCCGCAGGAATCTCCTGCCATGTCAGTAAAAAAAAAAAAAAAAACTTTTACTGCTTGGAATATTATTAACTCTCTGAGGTAGAAAATGCCATTTAAATATGATAACAGTATACCCTGCTGTACTCTAAAACTCTATAACAGACTGAAAAGAAAAGACAAATGTGATCTTATATTTCACCCAGTTTGAAGATCATGGTAACAATAGAACTATCAGCTTTCAACATCCAGTCTTGTTTTGCTTGTCTGCATTAAAATGTTCTGTTTCTCCACCTTCCTGCGGTTTTTCTTTTTGCTTTTCTGCCTCCGGTCGGAAATCTACAATGGGAAATGAAAGGGAAGCTTTCTTTAGAGTTCAAGTCTGAACTTGAAATGCCATCACTTGAATGTGGTCAACTTAACAATTTAACCCTAAAACCACAACTATGGACCTTAAAAGACTGAAATTTCTTTGTTCAAGGGGGATGGACACAGTATGCTTAGTTTCTTGTCCCTTGTATGTATAACAACATGTACTGATCTGTTTTTGCCTATGAGTGCAGTCAGTTTTTTAACTATCCAAAGTACAGCAGCATTATTGACCATACAGGATCTGATTTTTGTTAAGATGTGCGGGTATCTTAGATACAAATAATGAAAGGGTGACACGATTCAGGTGCTAAGAACTACTCAGAAGTGGAGCAATAGCTTACCAGGAGGTCCCCCATCAGGAGTGAAGTTGTAAACAACTTTAGCTTGTAGTTTACTCAATATCTGCAGTTGTGGCAAAATGCGGAATAAGTCTATAAGAATCCTTGTACTTCTAGACCCTTTATTGCGTGACACCTCAGCGGCTAAGGCATCGATATAAAAATTGTGTAATTTCTTCACTAGCTCTGCATTTTGCAGTCCTTCACGATCTGGAAATATGTCATACACTCTAGTTGGAAAAAATCAACTACTGTGTCAAGAAGGTAATGAATATAGAACAATTTATTATCTTAATGATATAACATGCACAACAGAATTTATAAGCACCTTTCAATTCAGGTTACAACAACTGTCAAACTATATGTACAAAATCCTATTTTGCACGTATGTATCTTATAATATGATAAACCTTGTTACAGCGAATTTGTAAAAAAAATAATAATAATTATTGACTGGAATAATCAACATTATCAATTTTCCTTTCTTTTAATATAAGCAAATTACTCTGATAGCACAATACTGAAATAATACAGTAACAATTCTCTCAATCTGAATTTAAAAATCCCACATGAAAACTTACGATCAGTCATGACAACTGCACACAAGAGTCCATATTCTGCAGGATTGAATGAGAGGCTGTTCAGCTCATTGGCAATGATAAACATTAAATCTACCAGGTCTTTGGGTAGAAAACGTCTCATCCATGTCTCTGTATAGCGAAGATTGGGCTGTGGCATAAGGAAAGACACCCCATCTCTCAGCAATGGTGATGAAATAGTCTTGCAAAAGAGGAAAATATGAGACATGGTAAATACCATCGCTGTTGTGAAATAATTCTAACTATATGCTGATGTGCCAAATTACTGATTCTGCTTTCTAAAGAAGAAGGAAACACATATCTCTTAAATTGTGCTGTCCAAAAATTAGGAAGAAAGGAAGTTCCCTTTCCTCTTTAAATTAATTCATAAATACCAGTGACAGTGATAGTAAAAAAAAATTTTGATATTTAAAATTAAATCTAAAATTTATTGTCAATTATGTCTTTTTGTCAATTGCTTAGGGTGAGTTTGCTTATTAGGAATTGTATTTCCCCTGCAATTTTGCTTGGAAAAGAAAACATGAGAGCTGGATACTTTTATAATGGTCAAAAATAGCACTTTTGTTGAAAAAACAAACACATTTACCATGATAATTACAGACCCACAATTCACCAAGAAGATGCACTTCATATACACCTACCATCCACATATCAAGATAAGACGACTTCACCAACAATGCTTTATCAGGTAAGGAGTCAAAACCAGGTATCTCAGCACAAAAACCTATAAGTGAACATTCTTGTGAATTCAGCAGGTATATTATATACAGGAAGGCAGGAATAAATCAGTCCTGTATCACACAGAACCCCACATCAAGATGAAGATTCCACACATTATAAGGCTAGTAACTCAAATATATGAGCAATATTATATTTGTAAATACTATGGAGTCCATAAGTAATAAGTGATCCATCACTGATATATTAATCAAAATTTCATCTGTCAGTATATGTTATGGGTATGAAGAATTCAGCAAATTGTCATATTCAGTTTTAAGCAATGCAATATCTATGATTCTTGCATGACAGAATTATAATGTTACCATCTTATTTAATATTTACTGTGTTAAAATCAGAGCAGTTCAGTATGATTCCAGATTTCCTTTCATCATAACATGGACCAACATTACTAAAAATACACCATATCCCTTAAATTAAGGTTTGTTTTCAACGAATACTTTCAACAACGAGTAGTTATTTGTTTCATTGCGAATGTTTCCTTTTGCTCTTTCATTCAATGCCAAGCATTCCTTAATTTACTGCTAAAACATGCATGATGCTAGCATTGGATAAAAAAAAAAAAAGTTCAGATTGGCAAGTGCTTGATGTCACATTCGAAAAACAAAGTAATGACTCACCTAAAATGGAACTTGTTGTATTGTCAATTGAGTCAAAAAGTGCCTTCCACAGTTTTTCAGCATTCTCTTTTGAGTGGGGCAAATCATATTTTGTGAACTAAAATAAACACATACACATATATAGTATATATAATAATAATAACAATAACAACCAACTCAAATTTAAAAAGCTTAAATTTTGTCCATCAAATGTAAGTAAAACAAGACCTAAACATTTTACTTTTCACAAGTTATTACCAAAGAAAAACAAAGACAGCTTTGTCTGCATTTATATTGTCATGCTAACAATAAGTAACTTTTTGTACAAAATCATGGAAAATTGTTGTAAAAAATAAAACTCCTGTAATAATCAAACACCTGTTTAAGGTTTTAAGTTTTAAGGTAGGTATTTAAATAACAAGTGTCAATTTTAAAATTTTGGATAAAGTAACAAATATATTGAAAGCTTTCTATTTATAATATGGCACTAATACATATGCTTTGACATTTCTGTCGCTGCTACTGATTCAGAAGTAGTTAGTTAACAACATTTCAGCAGCTGCTCTCGACAAATTATTTTTGGTTATTGAAAACATATCATGCACTTAACTTAAACCAAGTCTGAGTTGTAAATATAGGTTACTCACATCTTCTTTGCCAATCCTGTCAGCAACATCAATGGCAATTTTCATGTGCTTCTTGTATACCAATTCCAATGTATGTGCTATCTCCTTATATATGCTGCTCTTAGATAATCTTCTGCTGTATGGCATGTTATACAGCTCAATTGCCTTATAAAATTCCTCATCACTGGCATCTTCTGTGTCATTTTGGCTTCTCGTGTTTTCAATGCCAACTCCCACACCGTTCTGTTCAATATCATTGTGTCCTAACTGCACTGGCTCTGATGAACTTACATACTGGTCAAACTCTTCTTTAAATGATTCTAAATGGTGCTGATCCACCAGTCCAAACTGAATATTTAAGGATGAATTATGTCCGTTGAGACGCATGTTGTTATTGTTGTTGTGCTGTAGTTGTTGTGGCTTCATAAATGTTGAGTGATGTGCACTGTTGTTGAAACTCCTTCCACCGCCTGCCTGGCTCATCAAACCTACCATCTGCTGGGCTGTGTTAAAGGCAATAGTGTGCTGCCTGGCTGTTGTGGAGGAGGAGGAGGAGGAGGAATAGGGCATATTCTGAATGCAGTCAGGCCTGAAATGCCCCCCTTCACTTTTCACCTCCATTCTCCCGCCTGACAATGAGTGATTGCCAGAGCTCAATTGTGCAGGGGAAACCATAGGCTGTGCGTTGTACTGCATCAACAGACTCTGGTCACAAACTACCAGGCCATTGTCCCCCTGTCCAACATCTGTCACCTTGGTCGACTTACATTTCTCGAGGAGTTTCTGCGCTATCAACTGCTGCATGTCTGGATTGCCCTGGGTGGTTTCAATCACCTGACTCAGGAGTTCTTTGATAACGTCTGGACTGTAGAAACGCTGAGGCCTGGGGACTGGAGCATCTGATTCTGATGAGGTGAAGGATCCATTCAATGATGACAGGCTGGCTCTGCCTTTTTCTGGAAAAAATGTGAAATCAATAATAAATCATATTCGTACTGACACAAGATATATACCCTCTGTCAGACAAGTATGAAGCTTAGAGACATAAACAAATTATTTAAAGGTTAGCAATAAAATTAATAAAAGAAAAAAAGGGACTGAATGGGAATTGAACTCACTCTGCTGTGTTTGGCAGCCAAGGACGTTACCAAGCGGCCTGCAATCTTGCTATCTGATATAGTGTTATTGACAATATATGATACCTGTCACACATGCTGAAGCTTTATGGAAATTGCCGAAGGCTAGAAAATGCAGTTGTCAACAAATTGTTGTAGTTTGGGAGAAAAACGTGAAAAGGAGACTGCTACTGATCTGCTATTGCAACATAGATGATCCTTCCTCTATGCCCTCAAAGACGTAACATCCCCTTCATTCAATTTAAATAAATAAAATGTTAATTGTTCCTCATCTTAATGAAGAATTATTCACTTTTTATCATTACTGTTATGTTCAAAGTCAACTATTGGAAACTTGGGCATACATCTTTGTGAACAAGTAGTCTTTATTCAACTCCTCAGTCAGCCAACACATTCAAAGATATAACCTTAGAAAAAGAGCAATATCCTGCCTAAGGCTATGTCAATTAAATTTGAAAATAATAATGGTTAAAGCATTTAATTACACAAACTTTGAGTTAAGGCGATGCAGTGAAAAAAAACTATGTGATGTTGGTACAAATATAACACACGTAATCACCATCTGACGCAAGTGGAATATTTGTATGTAAATCAACAGTTCATCTTTTAAACCTTTAATTTCCTTTGAGAAATCAAGGGGATGTGATACCTTAGAAAGGCCTACAGGTTTCTGTTATATAAAATACTAGTCTTCATATAAGTGCAATAAAGTCACTATTTAGTTTAAGAGTAATAACTCCCTTTTTTCTTTTTTTTTATGTCACCACCCTATGCACTCCTGCACATAAGGTGGCCAAGCATTCACCTTCAATTTTGCTGCTGTATGAATTGGTGTAAAACGGTGAATGATTTCCAATTCAGCTCTGTAACATGAAAACTGGCACGTCTAGAGTGTGAAGTACAGTTCAGTGCCAGGTTTTACTTATTTTGTTTAGGAGATATGAGCCCCTTATTTCAATGATCCATTTAACAGACTCTTTACTGATAAAATCAGAAGTAAGCCTTTCAAGAAAATTTCCTGGCATTGAATTGCAGTAGTCATCATTGTGATTAAATAAGTGTTTAAACAATACTGATAGCTGTTCAGGTAATGGAAATCTGCTAGAAATGGATATAACATTTTTTATACACAAAACATAAATGCTGTTTTAACATCATCAGCTCGAATTGGCAAATTCACCCTGATGTATTTTTTAGGAAGGTGACAGCATTAGTTATAACATGACATGTTTATTTCCACATTATCTAAGCAGATAAGAAAAAAAATCATTAGACATAGCCCCCTTAAACTTTATTCATTTTGACAACCAATTCAATTAAAGGCCAATCATGATACTCCGTCATAGAAAAATAAACAAAAACAAAATAAAAATACCTTTTTTCAATACCTTTTGTCAAATTTCTTATACATCCACTAGAGTTAACTTTTAACATGCCATAAAGATGACCCAAGAAGCAACGGTGGACAAGGGTTTACTTTATCAATGTAATGCATTTTCTGTTCACCATCTCACCTGAACTAACTGAAACTAAGTCTACTCCAGAGTCTGCTGGGGATTCCTCACCAGCAGCTGCAGACACCTGGGTGGATACAGTGGCAGCACTGGACCTGGACATTGATCTCGATCGCGAGGAACTTGTGGAATGTTCTGGTGCCAGGAGAGGTACTTGGTGATGGTTTAGCACTGTGTCTGGAATGTCCGGAATATTGTCATACTGTTGAGCTGTAGCCATGGTTGGCCATGCAGTCACGGTTGGACACGGTGGCTCTGGTATCAACATCCTTGTGGTATCCATGGGGGCCTCCCGCTGGGGAATCTCAGGTTTGGGCAGTAGAGTGGGCTGCTGCTGCAGCTGCTGTGAATCTCTCATACGCCGCACTTCTTCTAAAGCTTTCTCTTTGTCTATCTTTGGTATCCTGCCCATTTTGACAGCTGGAAGGTATATATTTTTCTTTATTTAACATCAGATTCACAACATAGTTTATCAATGTCATTGAGGAAAAAAGGAATATGAAGTAAATGGAAACTGTTATGTTCATGCCTCCCCCCCCCCCCATCGCCAAATTAAAAATATATTCAAATGACCTAGATGGCTCTTGGTATATGGTTTATGTTTCTACCAGTGTACTGCAAGATTAACCTTAGTTGATTAAGAAATATTAAGAACTATTAATTATCTTTTTAACTCTTGAAATGTACGGATCACATACCTGAGTATATAGCATGAAGCCACATAGGTGTTAATACAATGTAACTTGTGCATAAATGTTCATACTAATTGTAAAATCTGTATGCTTTTTAGGTTATGCTTTTGAAAATACTGTTAAGTGTATGTATACTGCTAGCCCATTTATTAAGTATTTTAAGGCATAAATCCAAGTTAGCAATATGTATATGTTTTGCGATGTTTTTAATATCAACCTGTAAACATGTTTATGTTTTTGGAATGCTGTGACGTGCCTAAAGACTGTTATGTTACAATTTTGGCTAGTTAATTTCTCAATTGCCTCAAATATGCTTATGTACTTTGCTGTTATATATTAAATACATGCATGTATTTAATAAATGTACATGTAAATGTGTGTGTGTGTGTGTGTGTGTGTGTGTGTGTGTGTGAAAGAAGTTTTTGCAGTTTTTTTAAATTTTTTTTTGCATTTGTATTATGCATTGTATTATGTTCTTCTTACCAAGTCTATTTTAACTTTTTGAAAAAATATCAAGAACAATGGCCTCTTGAGACACAATATCTTCTTTCTTAATTTATATATGTTAATGTGTATGAATGTGAATCTTCCATAAAAAAGTCTCTACCTATATACATCTTAAAATCACTTAAGCAATACATCAAGGCAAATTACAAAATTAATGCTACTCTATCCACTGTCAGAATTCTCCAACAGTTACGATGTTTCAGGCAAATCGAAGAGAACAAATGGCACTCAGCTTAGTGATTCAATTTATTATCTCCAGTGGTCTTAAAAGATAAACAAGTGCAGTGAGATAGATGTAGAACTGGCAACCTGGAGAGGACAGTAAGGACCATAAGGAGTGTCCATGGTAGATTTAATTAACTATCACACCTATCATGGGAAACAGCAGGACCCTTGATCAAAACTAACCTTAACAGCAAGAGCTTTAAGGGGAGATAAGAGAAAGATTCCTATGTAAGTAGGACATTCAAAAATCAATATTAACAGAAAATTCTGGAAATGCTGCTTGCAGCTGACAGGATCAAATGCCATAAATCCATTGTACATAAATAAAAGTCATATATCTCTGTTTGAAAAAGGAATTTCTTACCCTCTGTGGACATTCCTGCCCGCAGACATCTTTGCCATCGACAAGCCTTGCACCTGTTCCTGTTCTGTGGGGTGAGTACACACTGACCACCAAAGTAACACTTGTACTTATCCCCTCTGGTAATGCTTCTTTTATAAAAACCCTGGAATTTTGAAGCATTTGGTGAAGCAGCTTAAGAGAACTTAACAGACACACACAAATCAGCTGGACTTATAAAGTTTTAATTGGCCTATAGTTAATTCCTTACCTTGCATCCCTCACACGTCTCTATGCCATAATGCACTCCTGTGGCTCCATCTGTGCAGATCTTGCATGGTCCAAAGGGAAAGGGGACTCCGCCAGTGGGCATGGCAGACACCTGGTCAAAAAAAGACATATTTAACCATTACACGTTAGAAAATCCACTGACCATTACATAGGAGTTGGAGCTACTGTAAGCCCCCTTCTTTTTTCCTAAGGACAAGAGGAATCTGAACTAATTTTTTATTCACTAGTATACTGTTGCCTTAGAATAATATTTTGTAGATTTCAATAGGACTACTTGATGGTCAGTAAACTGATTGTTTATCTCAAAGAATGAAAACTTCAACCAGCAAAAATAAGCTAGACAGCAAGAACACTATATCACCACCATTCCTGTTTTCAAAACTTGGGGACTCCTTTTTCAGCACCAGTGACTAAAATCACATCCACAGCTCCCTAACAAACTGGTAAACATCTGTCACAGATTTGCCAGACTTTGTCATGTTTTTTTTTTCAGATATTTCAATGTATATATCCAACATGGATGATTTCAAAGATGACTGCCCATATCACACAATTTTCTTGTCAATCAGCCAATATACCTGTTGACAGGCCAATTAGCCAGCAATGCCAGGAGTAACAACAAGATGTTTACAAGCATAATATCCAACCAACGGAGATCAATTAGTCTAGCAACTTGATATGTTTTATGGAAATGGAAACCTTTCACTGCCCTTCAGAAAATGTCATCAAATATACCATACAAACATAGGTGACAGATTTCTATAAGTTTCTATTCTTTGAAAATGGGAAATATAGGAAAGGACCAAAAAGTTAAATCCATACTTTATTTATTTATTATTATTATTATTATTATTTTGAAAAACCTCCATACACCACAGGACCTAAGATACATTAAATACTGTATTCTCTATAAATTTATTAATCTCAAAATGAAGAACGTCAGTTTTTCCTGGTTAAAGTCTATAATTGTGCCAATTATCCATGTCCTATCATACCTTTCTCTGTAACAAATGAGCTAAAAAAAACCTGGAGTGGAACCTGCCAGGTATAACTTATCCTAAATGATATGGCCATCAGGCATTGTTCGACTTTCTTAAATCTAGACATGTTAAATAAAGCCCTTTCTTGCAGCATTCTGATGGGTTTCCAGTAATCATAGAAAGCCCCCCCCTCCCCCCTCAATTGGTCCTTCAACTAAAGATGTAGAATTACCATGGAAAAGTATGGGTTTTCTGGGGTAGCGCTAGCAGTTTTTTTCACTGAGCCAAATCACCACATTTTTGTCAATTTGTTATCAAAATGGTTATTATTTGGCTAAAACATGTCAAATCAAGCTCTTTTTCTTTAGCCAATTTAAGTCAGTTTTAGCATTTGGCTAAACTGGCAAGTGTTAGCGCTACCCCAGGTTTTTAAGGCGTGAACAAAATTCTCTTTTATTAATTTGTTTGTGCTAATTATTGAATACTGTATATGCTGAATCTTAACTTCATGCAAATAATCTCAATCCTACAAAATTGAGCAAAAGACTTATCCATATGACCTTGATACTAATTTACAGTAAAACCATGTTAATTATAATACTATCACCAAATTATAAAGTTTGTACTAATCATTGAATATTGTACTAGTATATGCTGAATCTAAACTTAATGCACGTAAACGCAATCCTTCAAAATTGAGCAAAAGACTTATCCATATGACCTTGATGCTGATTTACAGAAAAATGACGGTAATTATAATACTATCGTCAAATTATTACAACTGCATTGTTCACAATTAGTCCATGTGATATATAAATCTGACATTCATTCTAGGATAAAGGATCCAAAAAAATCCCAGATATGAAATTAAACATATACTATATCAGATAAACAATATTAGATATATGTGCAAGTGAGCAGAATATTCTAGAAGGACTGAAAATATATAATATGGGATATAAAAATTACCCATTTAAACACTATTTCACCAATGTAGCATTCAGCTTAACTGGGTTTGAAAGTTAACCTGGTTGACTTGGGCAAACATCATTTTAGAGCTGGCCCTAGTTTTAGGGGGGACCTCTCTTATTACTGTTGCAAATGGCCAGAAAAGGGTCTAAAAAAACACCATATCAGCATTAATTGTTGCTAGGCAACAAGATTTCACAGACGTTTTCCAAACTGTTAAGGTCCACTAGCACTTTTTTAGCTAGAAAAAGGGGTTCAGGCCTCTATGGAATCTACTACTCATCAAATAAGTAGTTTTGGTGGGTTCAAGAAGGAATGTAACATCGGCTCCAAGGGTTCAGCACACAAATGGGAACATGCCACATAGAGACATTTTAAAGCAACAAATAGGTAATTTGCATACTATCTGTCCCTTATACAGTATATATGTCAGTTAACTGACAAAATAACTATTTGCAGACATTTATCCATACATTAGTAAGCTGGGGGCTTAAAAAACACCCAAAAAATATATTTCAAAGTCAGTTACGCATTAAGTATTTTCTCAAAATCATGACTACTCAACTGTCCTTAAAATTTGAGTACCCACCATAGTAATATAATGTACATAAACTTAATGAAAAGGAAGTGGAAATAACATTTTTCACACTGTAAAATGTTTAATATTACTGTACCATACTAAATAGAAATCAAGGTCAAGTCAGGTGTCATATTTGCAATAATCCACATACCAAATGCTGCAGGTAACTCTGGCCCTCTCTTCTTTGGTGACAATAATATTTGACCTCTAACACTGACAAGAGGCAAGCAAATGATTCCTCTTCAAACTGAGGCAATTCATTAATTGCCCAAGACCTGTGTTAATTGAACATAATACCAACTGCAGCAATCACCACTTCAATGGCACATAAACCAAAATTCATGTTTTCGGTTCTTTTTGGAATGTATTTTTAAATGGATGAATCTGGTCCTTTTTGTGCTTAAATGCACAGCAGTAATCGTGAAGAGCAGGTGTACGAGTTGAACTTAGCGCAAAATGTTGTCAATGCGTGTTAACGTCAAGTCATACGAGTTGTGCATAAAAAGGTACAGCTGCTAATACCAGTACCATGACACAAGGGGCTTATGTTAACTACAGCTATACTAGTACCTTTAATGAGTTTTGCAACTGTACTAGTAGTAAATAGCATTACATTATAAATGTAGTATTTATAGTAACATTGCACCCCTGTTAAGTCAACAGCGAAGGAAGATTTAGGCAGTCGTGCCATTCAAATGTTTTTTTTTTTCATTCAGAACAAGGCACTAGTAATTAGAAATTGTATTTGAATCTTTTGTAGTCTACACTTCCTACTACTAACAGGGCTTGACAAAAAAAAAGGGTTGTATGGTTGTGTTTTGCAACCATCTCTGGGGTAGCGCTAACACTCCCCAATTTAGCCAAATGCTAAAACTTACTTTAAATTGGCTAAAGAAAAAGGGCTTGATTTGACTTGTTTTTGTCAAATTATAACCATTTTGATTACAAATTGACAAAAAGTGGTGACTTGGCTAAGCGAAAAAAATTGCTAGCGCTACCCCAGCATCTTTTACCCTCAGGCTACCGTATCTTGACCAGCAGTTGTCACACAGTCCAACTCATTCCATCTTGTTCAATGGCATTGGCTCCTCTTGGTAAATGTGTATAATAGTTATTTGTGTTCATTAAAAGATAGCAATAAAATATTCATATATATTACATTTTCTGTTATCTTGTTTTGTAAAAAAAAAAAGGCAGTGAAAGTGACATAACTTTTTATTTGGAATTCTTTACGAATCTAGAGTAGAATTTAGAAAATAAAAATTATTTAATTGCATGCTTGGTAATTTATGATAAATATATGATATAGCAATTGTGTACATTTTCATTTTCTTGTGGTATTTTTTGTTCCAACATTGATTCAATTTAATCTGCACTATGTAATATACATGTGCAGTAACCACACAAGCTGTGATGTCCTGTAAATGGCTAATGTTTACTGGCAAATGGCCAAATAAATAAAAACATAAGTGTAATACATTAAACATATCTGGCATCTATACAATCTTGTAAGTCACCTGTTCACACATTCTAGATATCACTCATATTATCATATTGTGGGAAATGACATGCTGCATGGCAACACAGACCAACTAAAAAACAAACATTTCAACAATATTTGTTACTTATAAAAAAAAAAAGGTTAAAATAATCTGACCATGCCAATTTTTGAAAGAAATCTGCATTTTTACCAAACAAGGCCATTCAGTAGCAGAGTAAGAAAAAAGTCTGGTACTTATGAGGTGCACTTTGTCAAAACATATTCAATGAAAAGCACACACACATGCAAAAAAAAACAAACTTTTATACAAAAATAAGAGATCCTGCTAATTCTCTAAAAGGAATAAAAGGGAATAACAGCTGTTTATATGAGATTCATATTTACAACAAAAACATTGTAAACAACTCACAGAAACATAATAAACTCCATTTCACCACCAAATCAGGAGTTATCCCAACTATTCTGAAGCCTGTGATAACCATCAAACCATGTGGACCTTTATAGATGGCTATACCTCAGTAATAATCTCTTAAGTAATTGTTAAAAAAAAAAATTAGAAAAAAACATTAACTAACTTTGATTGTTGGAATGGATTCATTTTAAAGCAGTAAGAGAAAATTGTTGTTTACCCCAGCAAAATCGAACAGTTGTTTTCCCTTTAACCTGTCATTTTAATGAACAATGTCCCTCGGTTTAAAACTAAAATCTAATCAGGCAATAGGAAATTTTCCCAATTCTACCAATGCCTACCAAGAGAAGCAAAAATATCTTGAAAATCATGATGTTCAGAAAGATAACTAACGGCCCAACAGTGTCAAAACTAAATCAACTCAGGACTCCTTTAAGATTGGATTAAAACTGAACACACCAACCCTCCAGGCAATTATGAGTGATTACCAATGGAGTGCTGTCCTTTTCAGGACCCCTTATGATGCCCATATCTGCCATCTCCATACCTGAAAGGACACACAGCAGCACACTATAGATAAAGACCTCTATTTGTCACTACAAACAACCCTTATCTGCTATGGGACACACATATTGCACATACACCGTATGATGCTCTTAACACTGGGATAGTGAACAAAATTTAGGTATAACTTACACATATATATTTATTTATACATGGCAAGGGTTTAGTCAGCTAGAAGTCCAGTGGTCATTTGGACAGCCTCTTTGTGGAAAGGACTGCCTATCTTACAGCTGGATGGCTGGCATCACCCAGTTTTGCTCCAAAATGTGCTTTGCCTTTTAAGTGGATGTCATAACATATTTAATATCCTCTGAAGATAAGTTCTACCCCCATGGATGATTGTGCAACCCCCACTTCGATTTGCCATGCAGTTAATTACTGCAGCTGTTTTAAAGTCACTTGTCTTTTGCTTTGAAAAGAGTCTAGCATAGCTGACAATTTTTCTACCTTCTCTTCTGGTAAAGCCATAATCATGTCTATTGTATTAAGTAAAATGCAAAGGAAAATCAATTTTGTTTGGGGGGGGGGGGGGGGGGCTCTCAAAATACACATTTCATCTCTGACCTTGTGAGAATTTTGATAACAGGATATCAACTAAGGCATAAGCCAGAACCACCCCTATATGTCTTTCACTTGATCTTTAGTAAAAGCAATATTATCTAGACAATTATTTTTATTATTGCTTCTTAAGTACTTATATTAAGACTGTCGATCTACAAATTTCACCCACAGAATTATACACAAACTTCAAATTATTGGGAGAAAAAAAAGGATTACAGTGTACACTGAATACAAATGTGATATATTCATACATGGCAAATATCACACTCATACTAGTAAGTCACTCATAATATATGCATTTGTCATTTTAAATGACTGGTGAGCATATATGTACTGGTAGCCCCAATTTTCACTCTTCATATCTTATTACCCATGGCTTAGTGTATTGTCAACATTGTGCGTCTCATCAAAACTCGTTTCAATTTTAAGTGAACGACAAGATGTGTTCGAGTTGTTACACTGTGTCTAATTTACAATGTATATCAATGAAACGTGGTGTGTACGTTAGAGTGCACCATGGTCTACATATAACAGAGTTTATTACACTGTAACATCAATGCATACCTGTTGCCCTTTTTCCTCCAAAAACACATACAAATTCACTATATACTTTAATCTGTGTAAATTCCATTTCTTCCCATATAGAATTTTCGACAAAATCCTAAGACCAAACAAAAAGCTCAGTCCTGTATAACAGGAGCAAATTATACTTACCTACGCGGTAGACAAATCACACTAGTAACACAAGATCTACTGTATCAGTGTATGTCAATGTCGTAAAGAAAAATATTGGATCAACGTGACCGTCAGCGATTAGCTTCCAGATACTTCCTATCCTTTTGGTCCATAAATATCATATGGTTCTTCATCCCTTACCATCGGCTGTAAAGTATAAAGCACCAAATCTCTTAAAAACGATAAAAAACTGTCAAGTTTTCAGTAAAAACAAATCAACATACCTGTTACACAATGGTCGATAACGTGATCCTCTGTGCAAACCCACTCGCAACAAATATAAGTAGGTTAACCCGCAATGCACTATGGGTAATGTGGGTCAATGTTGTTTATGTACAGAATTTATTTCACACATAGATCTATATTGTAGCTCTGTTGGATGTATAATTACATAAACCAATGGGCGTGGCGTGGTACCCAATCGTGCATCGGGTGTGAGTTGGTTGTGCATTTCGGTTTGTTGCAGTCTCGATATACGCCATCAACACGTACGAGTGACTAACTACATGTAGAACCTTTCGCACCATCTCCTACATTTTTCTTGTGTTAGGAGCAAGTGAAGCTTTTAACAACTGTTGGGTGACCTCATTGCCAGTAGCTACCAAGTTTACTTGAACCAGTAAGAAAATGTGTACTCGTAAAATGTGGTAACGGGCAACGAGGGACTTGCCTAGCCTGACATTTCTCAAGGGAATTTAATTATCTTACTGAAACGTTGTTTTTTTTTTCAGACGATGAGTGCAAGCAATGCATTAAAGCTGGTTGCGGTTTATCCAAGAGAAATCCAATTACAAAGATAAAAAATATGTTTTCTCTTGGTTTATTGGATTTGAAATCCATATAGGCATATAGGATATATATATATATATATATATATATATATATATATATATATAAGGGGGGGGGGTACCATGTACGGTGATGCTCTGCAAGATGCTGGCAATCGGAGTGACGCCTATATATTCCTGTAGCTACCAGAACAGTGTGCTGTGCCCTTTATATGCCATATATTGGCTTATAACCAGCATGCAAAGGCTACGTTTTATTCGTCCAAGACAAAATTTAATTTTACTGTATTTTTTATTGTTGGGAAAGAGGAAAAAACAATATCATATAGCTCGTCTAGTTGATTTTCCTTTTATAGGCCTACTAAGAAAATAGCAAAAACAGATGTCGTAAACGAGTCGAAAAAAATAAATAGATGCATAAATAATAAAATTAATAAATACAGCAATCATTACATCTTGACATTTAAACCACATTTTACCTCCAGTAAATCCACAATGCTGATACACAGACCTACCTTGTAGGCCTACTGACTACTTGAACTGCAATATCATTGTTGTCTACGTTCCTTGGTTCTATGCATCATAATTGTTTGTCAGGTCTGTTGTATTATGACGTACCCTGATTGAGAAAAATATGCAATAAACAGGGCGCAGCTGGCATATTGAACCCCCCGAGTACGACTTTGGGACTTTGCAGTCTGTGGGGAAACTTTAAAGGATGCAGTGAGTGTAAGAACTTTTTTATGGCAAAAAGAAAAATATTGGAAAATTCAGCAATTTCCCCATTATCAGGGGTAGGGTATATCCTATCCAAATCCAGTTCTGTAAACCAGCTTTTTGGCTCTAAGTTTAATTTCCAATTTTGCAAACGCTAGTTTTAACTAAATTCACTCAGCAAAATTACGTATTTTTAGGCTATCCCTGGCTAGATTATCACAAGTGAACTGTGTGGCTGGCAACCGTAAAAAAGGATTTAATGCCATGTACATATGATAAACATAAAAAATAATAATAAAGAAAAATAAATAGATAGGTGAAATTATGAAAAAAATAAGAAATCGGCGAAATAAGAAATTAAACTGGAATAGAGCAATACCCGGTCGACAATACAAAGGGCTGCGACAATTCCACGACCATGGCGATTACAAGGTTTTGATACGAGGTACACGTAACTCTCACATTACATGTTTCGCCGGGCACTCTCTGTTTCGTCATCTATTCGAGTATAGACTACACCAGCAATTTACTTAATGCTTATCGCTACTCTGGGTGCAATAGCTTATCAAGTTTAGATCTTCAAACTTTTCGTACAATCCATTTAAAGGTATGGGCTTCTGAACGCGTTTGAACATTCCCCAAAGTCACGTTTACGTTTCCGCAAAGATACTTTTCTTTCCTGCTATTTCAAACCTTCAAATGATAAAACCTGCAGGCGACATCTCCTAAAATAAACAGGGAGATATTGCGGTCTGAATGTCTGTCAGTCATTTAGAACTAAATGATTTAATTAGAAACGATATAAAACGTAGAATTTGTGTTCAGGGATGGAACGAGCAATGCTTTTCTTTTTCGAGGAAATATCGAATTGGCGGGCAATTGTCTGTTAAAATACCCTTATAAAAAGAACAATAAACGCCAAAGCATCAATCAAAACACAATATTTATTGAGCTGAATGTCAAACAACAACATTGATCACATAGGCTAATATTAATATTAGGTTTTTAAATCTACTCGATATATTGATCCAGTTATTGTTCAAGGATTTTATACAAAGTGCCAGGATACTTCCTTGATAATATTAAAATATTTCAAACTTTTAAGTAATAAAGTACCTTAAAGTAACAAGGGTAATAACAACAAAATCTGCGAAGGTTACATGGAAGCATTAACAATCAAAAATGTTCTTGTTTGAAGTCAAATCCATATTTTGTACAATTTTTTCCAAGTTCTGCTCCAAGAATCTGTGGTCCACAGTAAAAAAGGGTGACGTCACCATGTTTGGCAGCTGCGATATCTTTAAAAATCTGTAAAAAAAAAAAAAAAAAAAAAAAAAGAATAGGGTGAAAATCTGTCTAAATTAACAGGAGAACATTGCCCTAGGCTCAAATGAGGTGCTGCATAATTGAATTTATTATCCTCAAATCATGGGTACAGAACATTTTTTCTGTAAAAATTCCCAGCGAAATATACCACTGGACGTCGTGAAGCTGAAATAATAAAACCGGGTTTCCTGCCCACGACCAGTACGAAATATGCAATGCCCCCTTGTCGTTTCAGAAATTTGTGACATTTATTACCTTTCCCCAGTCTGGTCTTCCTGCCTTAGTCCTCGTCTGCAGCCCTGTCACCGCGTCTGTGTGCTCCTCCTCGTGCCATAAGTCCATTGCCAGTTGAAGCCCCAGTCCGCTTAAGTCTGACGCTCCCTGGGCGCCCGTCATGTAAATATGGATATCGAGAAAGCGTCCGACAGAAGACCGCATAACGGCTTGATTTCGTTCTAACTGGTTCAATAAACTGCTCATCCATTCAAAGCTGTCCTGATTGCGGTTTATCCAAAAGAAATCCACCTGTAGACAAAGATTGCAAAAGTTTCTTTGGCACTCTCTTGTATCGGTCCGATCGGTGACATTGTAATGAGAGAGAGAGAGAGAGAGAGAGAGAGAGAGAGAGAGAGAGAGAGAGAGAGAGTGAGTGAAAGAGACTTTGGTAAAGCCATGACATAAACCAATATATATATATATATATATAGAACGGAATATATTTAGAACGGAAAAGTGTCCATTTTGAAATTGTATGGTTGTCTGCTTTGGTCAAACAGCCATAAGATTTTCATAGATGGGTACATTTACCTTTCTAAGCTTCATATTACCAAGGCTGGCTGCTTTATCATCAGTCCAACAAAAGCGACAATCTGGACACTGGTGATTGGCGGCATTGAACCTGTACATGATGCTCTGCAAGATGCTGGCAAACGGGGTGACACCTATTCCTGCAGCCACCAGAACAGCGTGTTGTGCCCGGTATATACCAGCGGAGGCAGTACCGTAGGGGCCGTCAATGTAGACCTGAACTCATGAATATACGAGAAGACCAAATTAAAGAGATGATTTAGGCCCATTGATTGCGATATATCTTTAACTCTTTCAGTTCTTAAAAAAGAGTTAACCATTTACCAACATAAAAATCATTTTTACCTCCAGTAAATCATCGTCGTCTGATGCAAGCGACATTTCTGGGTCACTCTGTACACCTCTTGGCGGTCGCTGATCATTTTTTATGAGGGTTTCACACTGATACCCAGAGTCCACAGATATGTGTCGCTCTTTTGAGCTACTGACACATGGGTACAGCTGATTACCACCAGTGGAAGCCTCCTCCAGGTACAATTCCTGCACTGAGTCTGATTCCAACGATCTGTCGATGAACCCGTAAGAGTGTGTATTGATGCTTTCGTCAACGAAAATCACGGTGGGATTGCTTCTATTCCGACGCGGTGTACCTGGTACCTCCTCCTGCTTTGGTAGCCACTCGGGTGCAGACGATGAGCGTATTTGTCCTGTGTTCTCAGTGCATATTTTCCTCTTTTTCCCTATTGACGATAAGCTCTGCTTGCAGTGTTTTTCAACATCGTTTTTTACTTTAAAATGCTGGTATGTCTTGTTCGTCCACACACCTACGCCTCTTATATGAACAGTGAATACTCCTATAATGAACAATGACTTAAATTAAAAAGAAGGCGCAAACCTCTGCCAAGGCCAATTATTCGCTAAAAATTAACCATTAATTAATGAACCACACTAAAATCTAATCACTTTAGTTAACCCATTTTTGACCTATCCTGAAAATTTTTATCAAAATCCATCCAAAATTCTTTGAGTTAGGCTGATAAACTAACAAATGGAGGTGAAAACATAACATTCTTCAAGTGGCGGAGGTAAAACAGGATGTTTACGAGAATCATTGTGTTCCTTTAGTTATGGAAAGATAGGTTGTGTAAAGAAATCAAGCCCCTTGGTAAATTATAATGTTGCCCTGTAATTCAAAATGGACAAAAAGAACAGATGCCTATATCTGTAAACACGTCACCTCGCCCGTCAGAATTTTAATTTTTGTCTTTTGTTTGAGGTGATTATTTGACAATACCAGGGCTTCCATCAAATGGTGATGTATATTGTTTATAGTGATACAACAATAGATTGGCACTTGAAACAATGCAAAGTTTTGGGAAAAACAATTCTATCACCTAAAGAAATGTAGGTGAAAAGTGTAATTACAAATCAACCCACTCTCGTTTCCCAGTAGCTCCCAGTGACACTAACCTGCTTCCTCCGGTGCACTGCTAATGGTAAAGGGATGCCACTCGTATCTACTGATGACGGGGATATTCAACAGCACGTAATCTCCGGCATTGAAATAGAAGTAAGGTGGTTTCGTAATGACCAGCTTTGTTACCTGAAAATAAAACGTCTTTTGTGTAAGATCTTGATCGGTATTTTTCTAATAAATGAATATTTGTTCGTGAATAAAATTAAATACCAAATAAAGCACAATGCATGTATACACTGTGCATGTGCAGATGCGAGATGCACTAATGGAATACCTTAGAAGGCAGCGCCTCTCCCTTCAGAATTTTACTTTTCTTCTTTTTATTGAGACACGGAGACCGCATCAACTTCTCCACCAGAAATGCCAAACCAGGAAACAGGAACCATTTCCAGAAGTTCTTGCCATGAACCAGTAAAATAACCCAGTATGGTATGTAGAGATGGTGGGCGAAGAAAAAGACCTAAAAATGTATGTAAAATAGAACGAAATTAGAAAATGACTATAATATTGATAAAACAAAGATCGTTTAACTTGACAAACGAATGTTTACTTAGTGAAAATTATAGTCTTCAATTTGAAATACAGTAGTATTTATTTAGTCCCTGCATTGCAAATTGTTTTTATGTATTTGATTCGGCAAATTGCATCCAACTATACGCATTCAACAGGTTGCTTACACTGCATACTAAATGATACGAAATACAAGCCAAAGAAATAATAAATGATGCCATAACAGACCGTCAAAAGTTCACGTTATTGATAATCGACTCTTATCGCAAAAACCCAGGTTCACAGAGTAGAAAATAATGCAGGGGTGAGGATAATTATATTAGGTTATCTTAGTTATTCTCACGCTGAACAACTTCCGCCGCACTACGGGTAAGGAAAAGCAGAAGATACTCAGTAGAATAGCCAACAGTATCCACCCGGTGAGAACATATGGATCAATGAACCACAAACCCCAGTTCTTCTTCACCACAAACGCTGGAATATAGATTGATTAGTATATAATTTTCGGGGTTTGATAGTTCATTTTTGTCATTTTATTCGTTATTCTTTTTCAACTTTTGTCAAAACGTTGAGTTGTTAACAGTTTCTGTCATAAGCATGTGAATTCTTATTTGTCACGGAATTTAACAGATATAATAAATTAAACTGACTGAATAGATACAAAACAATGAAGTACATATTAAGCTTAAACGAAATAAAAACGTATAAATATCCGCTAAAACGGAATGAAGTAGTGATTTTTCTTCAACCAACAGCTAATATTGAAATTGTTGTTGATTTTATGTTAAATGTTAATAGTAATAACAGTGTATCGACATCCAAAATATGAATGAACTTATACCAAATAATGTCGAAAAATATTTTATCGATGTAGGCCTAATGCTCGACACTTTGTTTGGCAACCTCTTCAATATGTACCTTCTCCACTTTTTTTTTTTTTTTTTTGGGGGGGGGGGATAGCTAATACCGTCAGGGTATCAAGTGCATTGATAGGAAAAACGGACGATAAAGTAGCAAATTGACTCACCGTTATAGCACGTGTGACAAACTCCATGCAGCACAGCGTGTAAAACAATAGTGCTACCAACCACTCTGTGTAAGGCAATATGGTCATCAAATGGTAGAAATCTATACAGCCATGTAGATCTCACCCAGTTCAAAATCTGCCTTAAAACCAGTATTACAATAAGTATACTGGTAAAGTTTAGACAAGAACCTGGCGGATAAAACAAAAGCAAGAAATAATGTTTTTTTTCTGAAGCAAAAGCATGAAACATGATCAAGCGCATTTTACTTCTATTGTCACTTCAGTGACCTCACTCCAAGACAAAGTATTATAAACTGTTTGTACCTGTGCCACGTGCGATGCAGACAAGCAGGTGGCTGCTATTCAACCAGTGGCGAACGAACGCTTCCAAAAACAGGAGGATGTTGAAACAGGCGAACACTGCATGGAAGAATATGAACTGGGCGTTGTTCTGGATGTACGTTCTAATCTCTCGGCGACCAGGTAAACGCACGACAGATTCCCGCCAGTCTTTTGAAAGCTTCAGCCAACCCAAGGCACTGAAATCATCAACAAGTTCACAACATAAACAATATTAAATAAGACCTTATTCGAAAGATATATGAGCAATACCATTTGAGGTGGATATTTCTCAGTCTTTGAACCTTTGTACATGTTTTTAATCTTAAGCTTGATAAATCTTTTCATCATTTCATAAATAATTTTTTTTCATCTCTTGCATCAAATTTGAGGCATGAACGTTTTCTCCAAAATAATAATAATAAAAGAACAATTTATGCAAAGAAATGGCGGCGCACACGTAGGGCCTACCTAATAGTAAGATTCTCTAGGACGTTCGGCCGTTTTTCGAGCGTTTCCCTCAGTTCGTCGAAAGAAACGCTTCCAGATTGGTCGATATCTAGCTCATCCCACAGGAGACTTGTAAGACGCGAAAATATATCATCTGCCATTGCCAAGGAACTCTCCTCGATACAAGCGCGTAGCATGGCGCCCAGCTCCTCTCGGGACAGCTCACCATTATCTAAATAAGAAGAACAGGTACGTCTGCCAAAACACAGTAATACGAATGGTGCAGAGCAAAAAAAAAAAAAAAAAAAAAAAGGGATATTGAATGAAATATTTGAGTAATTAATTCATGAATGAATGTGATGGGGGAAAATAAAAACCGATGGGGTGGCATGAGAATGATTTCAACGTCAGCAACGTTACGTTACGCGGTGTGCACATATAATTAGATTTGACAAAATGTGTAGATAAATGTTCAAATGTGGACATTATCTACTTCACTGTCTAGCCAAATTCAAGGTACCGGTGATCATGAAATGGATTTTTGGAATGATTGTTATGTATACTGCTAACAGTCACGGCGAACTGCTGGGTGCGCCAGTCGTAAGGATTATTATTATTATTACTATTATTATTATTTACCTTTAGCAAATCGCTATGCTTCTTGTCTTAAACACAATGCGCCTTTAACTCTTTTAAAGAAATTAAAGCATACGCTTACATATAAATAACTCACCATCGGCGTCATATACATCGAATAGAAACTTTAGCTTATCTGTGCTGCTACCTTGAGACAGAAGATCAATGGCGCTGATGAATTCGTCTAGCTGAATGGTTTTTGAATTGTCTTTGTCCAAGATAGCAAAAAGGCGGGCGCTTAGGTAATCCTGTAAAATCAATAGGCTAAATTGAGAATTTAACAAAAAATGCATAAATTCAATTAAAACAACCAAAACAACCTCCTTGGCGGAGGTAATGATAATCCAATATAGCGGGGTTTTCATTTCATTTCAAGACCATAACCGTAAGAACATTTTCAGAAGTTGGTTTTCTCGGGCATTTTAAAACTGTTAGAGGCTAGTGTAAGTAAAAAAAAAACCGAAGAACAAATTTAACGTATATACAACTCTTGCGGGAATATTTTCATAGGCCTCTGATGGTAGATATTCAGATTACATAGCATCATGGGATATTTATTTTGTGGGGCCATCTTAGTGAAAATGAATGTAATACATGTACCAGTTTTCTCATGGCCATCACATACTGTGTTTACGGTAGGTCCAAAATTATCTGCATTATGTAGACAGAGAGGCTTGGAATTCCAAACAATGTCTTACATTTTTAGAGTTGACGATCTTGCGAAATTCTTCCTGTGTTATTTCCTTACATCCTCCAGTTACTTTCGTGATTTTTCTTGATAACCGTTTGTTTTCAGGGTCGTTTCTGAAATAAGAGAAATAAATTGCAAGTCACATCGCATTGAAATAGGTGTGAAAGACCATGGCTTATGCGTAGACTCTAACTTAACTTGATAATTTCTGGTAGGCCTAGGCATTCAATACCTTGTACTTAACGAGGTGGATTAAACCTTATTCGAAGCTCTTTTGCCACTGAGAAATAAGACAAAGACTTGGCTTCCATCAACCAAGAAGTTACAATTTCTTGCATCAACAGAGATGACAGTACATGTGTACTCCTTATTTGAAATGGTAATTTAGAAATCCTAAAATGACATCAGAAAATGTTCACATTTTAGCTCTAAGCACGGATATAAGACATGAAAGTTTCAAATTGCATCCTTAATGTGAAAGAAAATCACGTATTGGAAATAATCTAGTTTAAAGAGATCTGCACTTGAAAAGGCACTGATTTCTGTTTTCGTCAAGTTTTTGTCGCATATTTGTTGCCAGGATGTCGTGAATTTGATACTAAACATCATCTTCATCTGGATAAATTAATGAAGTTTATTCAGGGAAAATATGTCGTTAAACTCACCTTCGTATGTTTGCCATCCCCCTATAAAGACCCTTCAATTATGCTTCAATTGGCTAAAGTTACAATGTCTGTATGGGAAAAATAAGAATAAGATGTGACATTTGGCATATTCTCATTCGTAAAAATACAACAAAATATACATATTGACGGTTTAACCGTAACCGTTACATACAGTAACCTTAACATTGCAATGCTTAAATGAAAAATACCTAAAATATAGGTACTGATGGCCATTTTGATTTTTTTCTCCCATCAAAAGTAAAATAAAATGTCTACAAGGGTCCTGTTGGACACCCGGTTGGATATCCTTAGTGGGGTCTAATCTACCAGAGACATTTATGATTTTTTTCCGCGGGGAAAGGTTCAGTAAAATTCCACTGGGATGTAAATTATTTTAACAAATCTTTGATTATTAATATTTTTATAGGTTATTTAATTATTTTTATAAATTGTTTAATGATTTTTAGAAATTATTTTGATGAATTGTTTAAAAATCTACGCGGAAAGGTTGAACATTACACAAAAGAAAAGACATATACCTTCTTTTTTCTTTATTATGCAAACATTTTGAGAAATAAAGAAGTACGCGTTAATACGTACATGGACGACTTTGAAATAACCACGTGTTTTCGCGTAGGCTAATATATAGAAAAACCAACTTACTTTTTAGGTGCATATGTAGCGGCTCCTGGGTCTAAACCGTTGTAGGCATAAGCATGATTTTGAGTTTTTTCGTATTGAGCTTCAAAGCATTTCTTGCCTTCATCGCTAATCGGCCATGGGTCGGTAAAGTGTCTCTCTTTTAATTATGCCTAACCTGAACAGCCATCAAGGGTGGTCAAAAAGGATAGTAGCCTATTTGTCTAGCACCTAGGGTGTTAAGTTGGTGACATGTACCGAGGAGTTGAAGAAATAAGATAACGAAGGTGAGAATGCTATTTACAATTGTCTAGAGTGTGGCTTTAGAAATCTCTTAAATACATGTCTTTTACGAAGCTCAGGATGTGTACAGGTAGAACCCGTCCCAATTAAGGCTTGTACTGGTCAAAAACTTTTTTTTTAGTTATTTATTAGGCTACAGTTTACGATGTGAAAATAAAATGATTAATTAAATTATGCATTAAAAACAATAAAAATTGAAATTAGGGGTTGAAACGAGAAACAGTTTATGGGTAAAAGCTCTTTAAAAAAATATTATATCTAAAATATTATATATTGTATCTTGTTGCTTGGTAAAAAAAAATAAATAAACAACTGAAAACAAGGCACTCATCGTGTTCTCCAGTCTCTTCTCCATTCTCTCAACATAAATACCCTCAATAAATGGTTATTCATAATAATAATTCATAATAATAATTTTTTTCTGGGAAGTTAAAACTTTAGGCAAGCATATCAGGATTTAGCGCAACATTCGGCTTAGTATTATTTGTCCTGGCCAAATCAACAGCAAGGTGAACTATTGATACAGCAAGGTTAACTCATACACTCGGCTAACCTCGGGTGGTTTCGTACTCAAACACTACTAAAGTTTCGTTGTCAGAATATTAACAATATTTAATAATGTGGTATGTATCATTTCATTTTGATACTTGCAAATGATGTTGCAGTATCCAAAGGTATATTAAAAAAAATCCAAATAAGCTGAAACTCCCCAACGGGGGAAAAAAAGAAAACTAAACTCAAAATCCACAGTAACTCTTCAAGGTCATGTTGTTCTGGTAATTTTCCACAGATTTGTTATCATATGTCATAGCGAGCAGCTGATCAACCGCGTAGGAGCAAGTACTGCAACCGATTGTGTGTGATAGAAACAAGTCTTCCCTGTGCAATAATTCAAAAGCAGCACATAACAATCAGGTATGTGATCGCTCGCTAACTTGTAGATTTCACGCCGCAATGTGCATTTAAATTAATTACACGGCGACGGTCTCTGTGACCCCCTTTCCAGACTAAGCATTTCAATCAGTTTGAGTTTTATTGTTCCATTTCTAGTGTTTTTTCTTCTTGATCCTTTTGGCAGTAATGTGCAAATATTCCTGAAGCGAAATGATATTTGAACGTAGTATTGTGATTTCATATAGTTTTCTGCTAATTGTACTATTATTATGTTTTATATCCACTGGATAATTATGTTATGTGTACATCGTTAGCTTATTATAACTCATATATATATATACTCCAGCCGCAAGATTAGTTTGGTAAAGGTTTTTTTTATTACTCATACATACTCCAGCCGCAAGAATAGTTTAGTAAAGTTTTTTTTTATAACTCATATATACTCCAGCCACAAGATTACTTTGGGGTTTTTTTTAACTCATATATACTCCAGCAGCAAGATTACTTTGGGGTTTTTCATAACTCATATATACTCCAGCCGCAAGATTACTTTGGGTTTTTTCATAACTCATATATACTCCAGCCGCAAGATTACTTTGGTTGCAAGATTAGTTTGATAAAGGTATTAGTAATTCTAGGGTAATGCCTAAATAGTTTGACTCTCTAAATTTAAATCAAATATTAGTAAGTAAATGATTAAGAATCAGATATACAACAGTGTTTCTTATTAAGGTCAGATTAAAAAAATAATCATAGATTATGACAGAAGAAAAAAAATACTTGTTTACTTCATTAAAACAAAATGTGGTCCATAAAGTGGTGTATAAAATTGTCAGCTGATTAATTACAAGTCACCTATATAAGGCAATTGTTATCTTAACTTTCTTAAATTTCACTTAAATGATTTTGCTTTTATACAAAGAAGCTCTTAACTGCAGAAGTATTGCTAAGATTGCAAGAATTTTGTTCAAACACATCTTAGCATGGGTGATTTGAAATAAAAGCAAATTACATTAAAAAAAGATGATGGGGTATAAGAATGTCACATGTATATATCATATATTGTAAAAATTTCAATTTTTATAGATGAAAAGAAGAGTGCAGCATCATTTGCTAGCAATTAAAATTTCAATTTACTTGGATGTAAATCCCAATATCCTTGATATACAAGATTAGCCAGCTTTACAGTATTTACACAGGGTCTTTATAGGTCCCTAGGAAGATATAACCTATAGATATAACCCAAGCTGTTGCATGTGTGGTGCTGGGAATTATTGATTCTCAGATACAATCACAGCCCTGACCCAGTCTGTACTTCCTGCCTCAGCCTCCTTGTACTGTATTTAAACCTAGCCATTTCATTTTATAATGGTGATTGATTTAACATGGATGTGAAGATTGAAGAACGACCCTAGAGTGGAGATGAACTCTCTGTCCACATTGTCTTTTACAGTTTGCTTTATACAATATCAGTTTTTTTTGGATTTATTTTTTGTGGAAATTTTTTTTCTACACAATAGTTTTATTTCTTAAGTTAGTATTTAAACTGATATTATAGGTTACTTTTTTTCGGCTTTGAAAACTGGAAATAGAGAAATACTCAATTCTTGCTTTCTTTATTTCATGTGTGCATGTGTATGTGACTCTTAGCAGGTATTCACTTAAGATTATTCCATGGTGTTAGGACAAATATAGCTCATTGCCTATTCATTATTGATGCAGGTATTTTGCCATGCAGTTTTGTTGATATTTTCTCTTTATGTGGCAGAGCAGTAATATGTGCTAATGTGCTGTCTAACTTTCTTTTGATCCCTCGACCATGTAATCATTGAGGTTCAAGGTCAACACCAGAAACTTGTCCAGAAAGTCATATCATTATCTTTCTGTTCAGGTAGGATTTACAGAGAAACAAATGTGCACAGCATTAGAGTAGCTTTTAGTCTTTCTATATGTGAAGGTTGCCTTGAACAATTAAAATGCGGCTTCTAAAAATGGCTTTTTTCCCAGGAAGAGGTCTTATTGAAGTTTAATACATGACACAAGGTCACATGATTTAAAAATTGGACATCACCTCTGCAAAAAATAACAGATCACATCAGTGAAAGTATATGCATTTACCTGCACATAGGTTTTAGAAATCAAACATTGCTGTATACCAAATACAAGCAATTGCAGGCATGTAATAATGAAATTTTGGCATAATGCCATGTTTAAGGGGGATTTTTTTTTGAAACAGTTTCAGTTTGTCTGGATAAAGGATCAGGTAAGCCACATTTAGGAAATTATGAAATGTCGGAGGTTCTTCCTTGTTGGTATCTTGAATGGCTTGTGTTTGTCACACATATGACTGTTACTCATTAGCCTTGTCACTTGAGTGAGTTATCACCACAGATAGTTATAATACAGGAGAAGAGCTAGGATTTATAAAGGTAATGATACACTTTATGATCTAGGTACAGACAGGGTGTCTAAAATCAAGTCAGTGTTTCCTGTGAAAATAATTGATTTATGAGTGTTGTTATTTTGAGGATGAGACATTTTATTGAATTTGATTAAAAATTGCAGCTTAATCTCCATAAGCATGGGTTTATTATATCACAAATTGTTTTCTGTGTCAGAAATTGCAATGTTAAGTTCTACGCCTGTGGAGGTTTGTGTTGTGCATACAATATTCAATTGTCTGATGGTTCTATCTATATTCCAATCGAAGCTGACAGCAAATAAATGAAAATGGGTTAGGCAAAATATGTTTATACATGTATACCTATACTGTTCTTAAAGCGTAGAATTTAGGTCACTGCTTTGAGAGTCGCACTCTATCAAAAGGTTATTGAAAAGAAGTAATAAGTAGTCCAGGGAAAGTAATTGATCTCCTGGGATTTCAAGCTTTAGAAAGTAGTTTTGTTATTTCAACTTTTTGATAACCAAACAAAAAGGTTAACTTGTACAGTTTTAATGAAACAGGTTTTTTGAATGTCTGTTGTATAATGATGGAATGGCGCACCATCCCTCAGGTAGAAAAGTTCATATTTTTTTGTATTGTCTGAATGTACTGGTACTTGTTACCTTGTGCAGTTCAGTGGTTCAGGTATCATCACATGATCTTGTGTACTCTGCATTTATGGAAAAGGGATGGTGTAACGATTATCGCTGTAGTGTTAATATAAATAGATAGCTTTTCTTAATAGACATGTGTAACATGGCTGATTGCAAAACAGAAATAATCCTACCCCCACCGACAATAATTGTCATATGGGTAAATGAATTTGTGGGATACTCATACCAAAGTAATCAAAACTCCTTTACACAGTGGCATTCTGACGACATTTCGGGTGACTCACTCTTGTCAACTTTCAATTCTTGAACCTCAGAGTGTCAGAGCCAAAATGTGTCATTAAGTTTTTCTTTTGGATTATAAATTTAGTTTCTTCAAATAAACAATTATTCTGATGCCTAAGATATCTAGAAGGGGGAATAACACTATCAGTGATGCAATGCTGCTGGCAAAGAACATTTCCATTTTAACAAAAGATATAAGACTTGATCAAGCAAACACCTTTAGAATTTATGGTATATTTACAATTAATCAACTAAATTCATATAATAACTGCCTGGGTTTGAAAATTGTAAACCAATTTACTTTTGTTTATTTACAGACCTTAACCCTGAATCTGCTGAGACGAGATACCTGGAAGGAAAAATGGTACGCCTGACATGTGAATGTTTGAATGTGAACATCCACAGCAAGACCCCCAACCTTGTCACTGCTGATGTTGCAAACTTAGGTCAGTGTCTTAATGATATAACTGTTCTTAAGTTATAAAGAAATGAGCGTTAAAAACTTTAAAATTTTGAAATGACTCTAGAGAAGGCTCTTATACCAAGAGATAAATGCATGTCATTATTTATGTTTCCTGAAATAAGCTATGAATAAATTTGTTAATAACTTGCTGCTTACCTTTTCATTAGTTCAAAGAGTTGGCGCAATTTGATTTCATCAGTCCTCTCACACGTAAAATTGGCAACAACAGATTTTTTCTCAAATGTTTTCTAAGTTTTTGATGGCTTTCCAGGATTAAATGAAACTCTCCAGAAAGAAATAAAATACTCAGAATTAGCTGAAGTTCAGTTGGATCTGGAAGGAATATCTCAGGTAAACACTCGAATTAATATTTCCTGTTTATGAGCATGAAATGTTTAATTGCTTCACGGGCTTCCTTATATATTCAAAAATTTTGTTTTGTGGATTAGTTGACAAAGACAGTTTTTGGAAAAAATTGAGTTTTTTTGTAAGGGTAGCAATATCATCAAGCAGGTCTCACAAGGTTTTTGTAGACAGAGACAGCATTTGATAGAACCAGCAGTTCTTATTTATAATGGTTGCAGTTTCATCATGCAGGTCTTACAGAATGGCTGGTTTACTGTTCTAATTCCTTTTTGTTGGGAATATGTGCTAGATGTCATGTACATGTTTGTTTGTACATGTACATGTTCGCTTTTCTACAAAAATGGGTTAATCTGTGTTGATATGTGTCGAAGCAGGTGTGGGAGGGAAGAACAGGTTGGGTTGAAAAGATTATCTAGAAAGGTTTTTTAAAATCCCTACAGCGAGATTTTAGTAATGAATACCAGTGTGGCAATATATATCAATTTGGTCTTGTAAAAAAAGAAAAGTGAATTCATGCAGAAATGAAGAAAACCGGGCATCATTAGAGAGGGAGATGGTTCCTAATAGGGACACTATTCCCAATATAGACACCAGTGATTTACCTTTTCTTATCTCTTGGCTGATGAGCACTTCATTAAATAAATATTTTTCATTGCTGAATCAGCTATTTATTAATCAATAAACAGACTTAAAAATAGATTCAGGTTTTCCATGTTATATTGACAAAATGATTACTTATTGAAACCATTGGAACAACAAAGTTGAGATCAACAACCTTGTGTTCATATTCATGTTTTTTTATGTAACTGTAATAAAAATCATCAAGGTTCAGAACATATTGAGACAAATATCTTTAAAAAATTGAGCCACCAGTATGCAAAAGTATAGCATGGTTCAAGTAAAATGGTGCTGCCTGCAAGTTTTTATCAATACAACAAAGCCCTAAGCACTTTAATCACCCAGCGGAGTGTTTCCCTGTTGTAGTGGGTCAATAGCTATTTTAAGCCACTTGAGCTGGATACAGTTATAATGCTGGCTGCACACCATGTGGAACTGTTTATTGTTTCTGGATGGAAACTTTATTTTAGTGCTGTTCCTATTTCACAAAGATAATGCACTTGTTTTTGCACCTTTATGAACATTTGTAAACATGAACCCAATGTTTTTTTAGATGAAGCATCTTTTGGTTTATGCTTTGGGTATAATAATAAATAGCAATTTGATCAACATAAAGTGAATTTTGTGTTTCATGTTTAATTATTTATCTTGATAAGTAATTTCACACACACACTTTCACAAAGAAAAAAAATTAATTTAAAAACTAATTTTTTTAGAAATAAACTATCTTAGTCACATCTACATATATTTGCCTTACTCCCCTGAAAGAATATGTAATTTTCTTCAAGGCATTATTCTTGCATTCTGATTAAACTGCTTGCTGAAAAATACCTTGTCAGACAATAACAGACATCATGCTCCAACCTATGTTAAAACTTGGTAACAACATTGTAATGTGATCAACAGATGTGTTATTGCTTAAAGCGCTGACTGCCTGGAGTATTTGTGAGAAAGTAAAGTGTAATTGGTGAATTTGGTTGTTTCAGGAACACCCTTGTCTACTGAAGAAGAAAACTGTTGGACATTGGACCACATATGAGTGTGTCAACTGTGGTTTACTGACACACGCTGTCAACACTGCCTCCAGGAGCAATAGAATTCTAGTCAACAAAAAGTTACTGGTAAGCAGTTTAGGAGGTCTTCTTTCATCTTTTTTGTTTTTTGTTTTGTTATACCAGGCAGTGCTTTTCCGTGTACTAGCCTACTGGGATAGTACTTGTAGGTGAAAGCATACACTTACAAACAACTATTTTGGAAAATTGTAGAAGTTGGATGTTGAGGTCGATAATTTACTAAAGCAATTGTATGTACTGAAGCTCTAGATCCCTGAAGAATTAAGAATTAAGATATATTTACATACATGCACTTCAATAAGGATTTAACACATTGCCAAAGCTCCAGTCAGTCTATGGGGACAGAATGCACGAAAGCTAAATGTACCTGTATGTTTTGAAATTGGATTTTAAACAGTACACTGTGCTGATTATGCAGTCATATACAGGTTTCTTTCCACAATGACATAACATTAAACAAGGAGGGCATATTGATGTTAGTGACTTTATGAAGGGTTTCTTTTGATAACCTGAGGGTGACATATGGTTTTCACATCAGTGACCTTGGATGTATTATTGTTATGTACAAGCTGGTACAGAGTTAAAAATAAGGATTGCCTCTGAGTGACCTGAGATGAGGGCAGCTAAGGTGAAAGCTCCCACCCTTGTATTTTGCAGAAGGGAATGACTGAGTTACTAGTACTTGCAAATTCATTGTTCTCTACTTAATACACCTTCTGCGTAACTTGAAGGGAGAAAGGGGTAAGTGTTGAGTTCATATGCCTTAAACACTGGATTAGACTGGATTTTGGCTTATTATAAAGAATGACTTATAAACAACAAAATGTGCTGAGTATGCAGAAGAATTGGCAATGCTAAACTGTGATGTGATTTATGTCACGTTGGTTTGTCACATTAAAGGTAAGAAGTGTGATAGACTCATAGTGTAAGACAGCCCAAGAAAACCAGGCACCTGTGTTGACACAGTTTTAGCACTTACGTCATTGTATCCTACATATATGTCTGACGCAATGCATTCCTGCTGTGGTGCTGAGTAGTTCATCTTGTGATTTTCTTCAACTTTTTTACATGAATGTCATGAATTTTGATGTAAACATAAGAAATATACAGCCCAACTTCAATATGTGCTCAATATAGCATTTGAAAATGTCTAAAAAATGCTTTAAAAATATTTTTTTTCCATAAAAAGGGAATTTAATATGGCACGACATATATTTTCACCAGTTTAAGTAAGATATAAGGGAAAATCAGATATTAAGCTTGTACAGTATGTAAAGATAAGCAGTTAATTATAAAGCACACTGAGGTTTAAGTGTTAGATATCTTGTTATAAGTGCCAGGGCACTGACTCTCTCCTCCTTATCAGCTTACAGAAGGGGGGGGGGTTGCCATAGACAGGCATTATGTGCCCCCCTCCCTCCCCAAACACTATACTGTTAGTCATTCTGTTTATATCTATTATATAAAACTATAAATTTGGATGCAGTATTAGCCAACATTTAGTTCACAGTGATATAACCCATGTGATAAAGATAGTTCCTGCTAATTTTGAAGGTCCTTACGCATAAAGTCTATGAATGTGTATATTTTTATGAGTTTAATAGGTTTGATAAGTCATAGCTAACATCACTTTCCATAATATATACCAAAGCTTTTGCTTATAAGGAGATCATTTGTGCAAGTTATTTTTATCCATCATCTATGACATAAATTTAAGGTACTTCAAAACTAGATAATTAATGAGGACAGGTGTCTTATTTGACCTGGTGATAGCCAGGCTGGCTTGTCATTTGTGTACACACAGTGGGCTGACATTTGGGGCTTTGAGATTACAGCCTGGTTATAATACACCTGCTAAGCTGCGGGGACTCCTTGGGTTGTTTACTGAGGCACTGCGCAGTGTGGTTTCATTTCAGCTGGTGGGTGACCGTGTTCTATTTTCAGCTGCTGACCACCTTTAGGTTTGACATAGTGAGTGAATGCAACACCCTTAAATGATAGGTGCTGCAAAAGTGATTCACCATTTGAGGAATATCTAGGATCCGTTGACAGCTGTGCAAATTTTGCTGAAACTTATTTTTGAAATTAAGTAGGTTTGTGCATGGCCAGGCTGCCATTGATTTTATGTAGAGAACACAATGCCAAGAAGACCTTAGTGAAAACTGTGTACAGTTGCATTATTTATGTCCAGTTGTTTTTGATTATGTACATATTTGTCATTGAGTCTTTTTGTTTTGGATTGCAGAGAGACGCTACGGCTATTGAGAGTTTGATGCAGTCTCCAGACTATTCTCCTCTGTACAATATTGTGCTGAAGGGAGTGAATGACAATCAGCACAGGTTCACACCTTTTGGTAAGAACTGAGACCTTAATTCACAGGGAATTGGGATGTGATATGCCTCTGTTGACATGGGTGGGGAAGGTGTGATTGTGCACTGTGGTAACCAGTGCATGTGTGTGTGTATGTGTGCGTGTGCACGTGCATGCATGCACACGCATGTGTGTATGGCAAAAGTAGAAGGGGAAGAGTACTACAATTTCTCCAATTTTCAAACTTTGTCAAATAGTTTTTTATGTGTGTTGTGTTATACAGTTTGAAAAGAAGCTTTTTGGTATATATACCTAATCTATTTGTTAACTGTAGCTGTGTTTTCTATGTCTTCAGGCCTCCAGTCCAGTAAATATGAATCTCTGCAGGAAACTTTGACTGCCGTCCAACAAAGACTGAACCAGTATCTGATACAAGAAGAGGCTGCAATGGAGGAAAGAATTAGGTATCAGAGTTTGTAGATGGTTAGAAAAATATGTATTTCAAGTAAATATAAGGTGCATTATTTGTGAAAACTGAGCCCAACTGTTTTGTTCCAAATTTAAAACTTTGAATTCAGCTTCTAATATACCTTAAGTAGAGGTATCAAGACATCAGTAATAACAAATTGAGAAATATGAATGGTCTTTATAACGAAATGCCTGCAACAAATAGCACCTAAGTTATTCATAATCTCTAAGCGATTTCTTTAGCAGATTTCCAGAAGATAAATATAGACACGTGTGCAGGCTCAGGTGGTTTATCTACTTCAGTTGTCAGAAAAGATATACTTTATACATAGAGACAGCCTTGATAAGGATAACATGTTTGGCCTTGAAGATAAAATTTAACTGGTCAATAACCTTTCCTGGGTAAAAAGAAACGGCTATGAGTAGTATAGTTACATTTTCCCACCCCCTCATATTAAGAGTGTACTCTTTGGCATTTTGCTGAGAGATTTTACAGTATGGAAAATAGAAAAAAATTGATTACAAAGTTACTGCAGTTGGGGATCTTTGGTTTATGTGATAGAATAGAAGGATCAAGGCAGTTCTTTTACAGATATATATTTGTATGGTAGTGGATGGCATTTTGGTAATTTTTTTCTTTTTGTGTTTTTAGAAAATATCAAGAGGAACAGAGAACACAGTATGCAAAACTTCAAAGCAAAGCAAGGAGGGATAAAAATACTTTGATCAGGTAAGCTTGTTCAGTATGAGATTCTTATGCACACATTATGTATTCTTATTTTCAGATAAAAGAAATGGAAACCAATGAATAAGTAAACAATGCACAAACTTACACAAGTGTTCACAAGTGTTCATACACATAAAAAGGAAAAATAAAAAAGTTGAAAAAACACTCATCAGATATAGAAAATGTACATTCTAGATATAAAACAAAATCAGAAACAGAGTTTTAATTTTGTTAGGCACACAACTAGATGAACTTTTATATGCAGTGTATTCTCCTGCATTTTTATCCTTCAGAGTGGTGTTATGTACTTGTAACTGTTTTACTCTTGATATAAAGAAAGATAAGCAAGCCAGGTGTTACATGTTAGGTCCATGGACTTTTTCTGACACTGACTCACATTCAGCCTGCTTTGTTGTTTACTGCCAGTGGTTAGATACCCTTGTTTACAACCAAAGGTTGTGAAAATGAGTCGAAATATGCCCTGAAATAATGACCAATATATCACCTGTGGTTTGTGCTGAGATGTTACCTGATTGGGGAGTGTCATTTCACGAGTTTAGATATTGTCCTGCCATTAAAAAACTTTGTGGTAGCAAATTAACAACAACAACAACAACAACAACAAAAGATATTGAAAAGCTTGTTTTTTAATTAACCCTTGTAGTGTGCAGAAGATGACTACAAAAGACATGAAATTCTCATTTTAGTAATTTTTATCCTTCAAAAAATGAGCTACTCATATAATTATATAAGAGTCAAGTCATCACTTTTCTAGAATCAAATGTCAAGATTTATTGGTTACATAATATACACTTGTACTCCCTGTGTCCACAAGACTAATATATTACAGTATTATATAATAATGTTGGCTTTGCTATAGTCCACATCTATGTCAAGGTCAAGTCGTATATTAAATCTGGCCTGGAAAGAAGTTGATAGGATTATCACTACCTGCCTTTGGAATTATGCCAATAATAAGTGTGCGCTTCAGAATCTTCCACTGTGTAAGTGTCAGAATATATTTTTAAAAGAATATATTTTTATGAAGATGAGGTAGTAATAATCAGTAGTGTGTTGAAATTGGTCTTAATGAAAGGAATAGAATTTTTGCTATGTTATGAAAAGTTGTGAAAGATTTGGTTATAAAACTGATAGGATTTTGATTCTCTGAAGTGTACACCTATTTCATTTTTTTAGCTCTAAAATGTTGTGTTCTCATGTTCTCAGTGTTACCACATTAGGGGTTTAACTCTGGCAAAGTATGTAAGATCAGCTTATACACAGGGATGCAGGGACCACAGAATTGTTCTGTCCAGGGTTGCTATATTTATCACATGATCTCCTCAGCTGTTGAAACAGATCATCTCCATTTCCTGCAATCAACAACTTTGTTGCTTAATTGGTTATTTGTATATGTCATCAGTTTGAATTATTTTATCATGCCCTGGTCAGGTATGATAGTGTACTCCTGCTGTTATCATTATTATCATGCTCTTGTGATAAGAGGGGCATAAAAGGGTCGTTGTATCTTGCGTTATCTTATACACGTGCAAGGTGCATGAAAACGCTCAAGTCGCATGTATTATTTCAGGGCCACTAACTATCTGTACCCCCATATAATCCCCACTTGTGATCGGAACATTTGTTACAAAGGGATAGGCTGTAGATAAAGTGGATCAGGTGGTGTTCAGAACAGTTTGGACGGAAAATGTTTCAGTTTTAACTGCAGGAAGTGGGAAGGCAGTTGATTGCAATAAATCATTAAATTGCCTATAAGTTAAACTGTAAGCACAATTAATTAGCTGTGTGGGTTAATTAAGAGATTAAGAAGGCTTAATAAAGAGACCCAGAGACTTAATTTATAAATGTCTTAACTCCAACTGTGCACTTCCAGAGATCAGACTTGAACCCCTTTAGACCAGAATGACCCCAAATGTGACCCGAGATAAATATGTAATAGATGCACAGTTACATATATATATGCCCCGTGCATTTGTGGTGAATTATTTAAGGCTTGTGCAGTATTTTAAGGCTGCACATTGTATAGCACTGCAGTATGGGCATAGCTGTGGGAGAGCAGGTGCCAGAAAGCAAAAAGAGGGAAGATCGGTAGGGTGCAGGAAGTGTATAAAATGATGATAAATTTCTAGGAAATTGGAGATGTTTTAAAAGGCAGAAGTATGTGAGATATAGTGTACATATATTGTTAACTGACAAAAGAAAAGGAAAAGCCATTTCTTTCAAGTCATTGCATTTTTTTTTTTTTTTCTTACAGTTCCCTGCTTGCTTCAGAAGCCAAAGATCTCACCGAGTCTCTGACAGAAGCAATGGTAGATGATTCTAGTCCAGAAAATAGTGTGGAAGGTTTGTTGTTTGTTTTCATGTTGACTATAATGATACACAGCACAGTGAAATATAAGTGATAAATATGCTGAAACTATATTCCATATGTCATCTAAAACAAAGCTACCAACAAAAAAAAAAAAAAAACTTTAAAAGATGGCTTTTATCATAATTGTATGAATTTGTTGGATTTTACCATTATTTTCTTGTTACAATGAATGAAGACAGAGGTAAACATTAGGTGTATCATATATATTTATACATTTTTAAATAATTTTAGCGAGCAGTTTGACTGAGTCATCCAGCTTAGAGCAAGACACAAGGAACCAGAACAAGGTTAGAACATCAAAACCCCAGATTTTCAGAATTAAACAGTTTTAGGATTCATGCATTTCTTCTACGTGAACTCTGTACAGTCATGGTAGTATTACCTAATAAAACAAGATTCTGAACCTTTTCATCATTTGTGATGTGAACATATAAGTGAAAACAGTCTTATTAAGTACTAGCAAGTGGTTTGTGGGCATAATATGATTCAATCTAGGGCCTTATTACTTGAAACTACAACTTTCAGTGGTTTTCTTACACTGGTGGTGTCATATTAGAATGAACTACAAAAGAGATGAGCAGTTAAAGAAAAGTACCTGTAGATTGGAAGATGAGCAGCTGTGTTTTTTTCCAAATAATTACACTCAAAACCTTTATCATTTTCGACAACAGGTGTCACCAGTGCAGCAACAGGACAAGAAAAGCCAAAGTAACTACCAGTCTCATCAACTACTGCAACGAACCACCTCTGCTCCTGTGAGGCTTCAGAGCAATAGAAGTTTAGATGAAGGTAAGGATTAAAATAGTAAACATTGTTCCTATCATAACACAGGTAACTCATTATTTTATATATCTTATCGTAGGTGTTGAGTTTTTGTGATTTTTTTCAGCATAGTACTAGATTACTGACTAGTCCAAGAAGAATTATTTAAATGAATAAAAAAACCTAAGCTTCTTATTCTTGTACAGTAGCTAATTTTTTTTTTTTTTTTTATGTCTTGAATATGGCCATAATTCTTATATTGTTTCAGTATTTGAGCTGGAAGGCTTAGATGACGATGAAGACTTACCAGCTTTTGATGAGTCAGATGATGATACAGGTAAGAAAGGGGTGTTACAAGAGTGTTAGTTTTTGATACTGAAAATTAGTTTGGCTTTTTAGCCCATTGGGTTTATTGATAAATTGGTGAAATTAAATGAATTATTTTTGATGTCAGTGATCACCACAGCACCTGTACATTTCATTAAACCCAGAGCTTGACAGAAGTTCTTGCCTCTGAATAAAGTTTCACGGATGTTGTCTTTGACTGAAACAGGATGTAAGTTGTTTAATCTAGATCTATGCTGAACATGTTCCAGATTCATCTGGGTTGTCGTTTTTAAGCCAAAGTTGATAAATTTGTCCTCATTGATGAAAATGTGGAGCCCTTTAACATATTTGTTAACTTTAATAACTACATAATGTTAAAGATCAATGAGATATGATTTTTTAAAAATAAAATTCATATGCCAAATATATCTGAGTGCGTTGAAGAGAGATAACAGTAACTGGATATTGGATAATCCCTGGTTAATGTTCCCAATTCTGACACCTTACTATCACATAGGTATAGTTTTAACTGTTAACAATGTGATATTGTAGATAACAGTATGAATGAAGACCAGAGCGATAGCAGTGATAGAGACAGTGGGATCTACTCGCGCTCCATCCCCATATCTGTTCCTATGGCATTCAGGACAGGAAAGTTCTCTGAGAGGGAAGAGGAAGATGTATATGTGAGTGTACAGGTTGAAGCTAAATGTGTAGTTTGTTGAAAAGATAGAAAAAGAAAACATTTCTGTATAGTAAAAGAATTAAGTGAAAAGAGGAAGTTGGATCACTTCATTTGAATTGACTCAGTTGACTCAATTGAATAAGGCACTTATAATATAAAATTGTTCTCTTTTTGGGTCAAAAACTGTCTCTACCAGTATTGAATTAACCATTCAAAAGCTTCCATTGGTACTTGCAGAAGACAGCCCCAGACCCAGAACACATGGCGGCAAGTATTAAAGCCCTAGCACTCAGCGTCCATGAGGACGGAACAGAAATGTTTGGCGATCTGCCAAGACCACGCCACAACACATGGGGTGACCATCACAGACCACACAGAAGCTTTAGACACTAGCAGATAGAGATGCTTAATCTTGAGTGACTCTTTTTCGGAGATATCAAGAGGAACTTGGATCTAACTGTACTTTTTACACATTGACTATCCATGAAGTGTGATATCGTCACCTATGGGTTAAAATATATGTTGCTAAAGTGATGGCGCCACCTATGTGGTGAAATTTTTGTTCGTTAAGTGATGGTGCCAACTGTTGTTTGATATAAAACTTTAGCAAAGCCTGTGTCAAAAGAATCACATTCACTGGGCTGCTTCAGGCTGTTATTGACAGCATAATAGAACAGAAGAATGTGAAGTAAACACAAATTGTATCATTTATCTGGTGACTTGAGTTCTGATCTTCCTGTACTTTCAGACATGAACCGAGTTTGTTTTAAACTTTTAAAAGGGCGTCTGGATCTGATAATTGGAGAAATTATCATTTCACAGGTAGATCTTTTGTGAGATATGAATACAGTTATGACTGTGTTGTTATTAACAGAAAAAGGAAGAAAAAAGAAAAAAAAGGAAAAGCTGGATTTGTTTTCAGGCTTAATTTGCCATTCGGTAATATACACTGATGATTTATAAAGATTATACTGCATTAAGTGTGATGTAAGAAATGTCAGCTCTTTTTCTGTGGCTAGTGGTCTGCTCTGTTTTATGAACTTGTGTCTCAAACCAGTATGCAGCATGTTGTAGGACCTGATATTCATGATGGTATACATGATATACTATTTCTGTCCTCATTAGTGTAAAGTGTTTCTTCATAATTTGCAAAAAGAGGAAAGGGGAGTTCTGCATGATATTTTTGATTATGTTTAGACTTCGGTATATATATTTTTTTATTAATTCAGAAGTTGCATGCAGGATTAAATCATAAAATTACAGTATTATCTATTGAATTATTTTCTAAACTTTCCAAGGTTCACATTTATTAGGAGGCTTATTTGTTTGAGGCTTTAAGTGGTTATATGTTTGTCTTTTTAATTCCACTGCGAAACATATGATGGGATGTCTTTATTTATTTATTTATTTTTTGTTTACACTGCTTGCGGGTATTTGCCTATATTGCAGTCTTTGTGATTGTTTAAAGCTTCCGTTTTACAAAGTTATCTTTATTCTGGCTTTATAGGTTGGTAACATTTCAGTTTTGATTCAAGTACTTTAATGTACTTTTACCAGTTTCAGCTGCTGTGTATAATTAATGAACATTTGTTAATGTTTATTTCTTAATGTAAGTGAAGATGATCAGCGTCAACAGGTGCACTGGTGTGCATATGGATTTTTTTAAAAACAAACATGGCAGTCATGGTAAAGCACAAAGTTCATTGAAGAGAAGGGCTGCTCTGATGATCCTGGAATCGTGAATATGTTGAAGGGTTGGAGACGTGAGGCATAGTATTTTAATCATGGAAGCAGGTTGAAGAAGATTATACGTGTTTGGTATTGGGTGCTGAAATAGTCTTTTGGAATTTAACAGTCTTTTGAAATGGGGAATTTTTTATTATTTTTTTAAACAAAAATACTTTGTCTATGGCCAGTGATTTTATAGTTAAATTGCTGTTCTATGGCCAGTGATTTTATAGTTAAATTGCTGTTCATCGTCATCACTGAGAAATAGCTGTTCACTAAGACAAAGCTCTTAGTTACATGCACAGTACTCTATATATTATATATAGCAGGCTGCTGATGTTTAAATAAGCTGTTTTGTGTGGATTTGGACAACTTGCTCTTTGTATCTTTTTGATATAGCAGATTTCAATCACTATGGTCTTTACATTTCATTTGTTTATTGCAGGAGTTCTGTATATAGATAAGAGCTTCTCGTGCTATTACCCTCTACCATGGCCACGAATTAATCATGTGCACTTTTCTCTAACGCGTAGAAAATTTGACATAACTTATCCAGAGACATCTGTGAGTATCGAGTGAAAAATCAATCTGTGGCCCTGGTAGAGGGTATCATGCTACTAAGGTTACACCAGTCCTTCGTATTACAACAGCATTATTTGAGGGGGCTTCAACTAAGAAATCTTCAGATTTTAAAGTTTTGCCTAAGATTGTGTGAGAATGTATTGTGTATTGATGCAATATTGGTGTCATAGAATCATATTTTGTAAAAAAGGGATGAAGTTTTCAGCACAGTCTAGGCAGTTTTTGAAGTGGTTCAGCAGGCTAACCAAGTATTAAATCGGTGCTCTGCCTGCAATGGTCAGTTCATCACTTGCTTCTCATTACTTGAAGTGAGTTTTCGTATACCTTCGAAAAATTGAAAAATATTTCTTATGAAATATTGGACAATAAAACAAGGTGCTACTAATTCTCTTTTTCTTATTGTCATTTTGGATTTACTTAGTAATTTCACTAATGAAATGAGGTAACAGAATACAATATTTATCTATTCACTTCTCCCTCCTGGCAAAATGAAAAGTTTGCATCAAATTTGCTGCAAACTAAAAGTTTGTGGCAAGGAGTTTGCAAGAAAAAATTGTATTGTTGCTAATTCCGAGCAAATTTGCAAGAACAAAATCCCTTCATGCAAATTTGTGGGAAGAGGATGCTGCAGGTCTGATATTTAGCCAAGCCCCCCCCCCCCTCCTCCGTTTCACAAAAACTTCGGTCTGTGTGTTCAACGGCAGTAATGTGTGAAGTCGGATTAGTAATAACAGTTAGGCGTGACCTTATAGGTTCTTTTATCACAAACTAACAATTGAAGATAAAAGAAACGTTTCATTGTCCATCTGACATCTTTTCTAATAGTCTTTTTGCCATCCAATCGCGAATCGCCATCCTTCCTCCACCATTGCTCCATCTTGCTCCGCTGTCGCAATTCAGTTCGAAAAGGAATCTAAATTCTTTCCGTTTGAATCTGAACAAATAATCTACTTGGAGCAAGCCAAAAGAATATGTGTGTTAATATAGGATGAGCTTTTATATCGAAAACATTCAAAACATACTAAGGAAAAAAGCGACTGCATAAAAATTAGATTAACGTTACCATGGGTACATGGATATGGGCAATCCAGTCTGCGACAGAAATATGGATTTAATCGCCATGTATTCAATATCTCCCTGAGTACGTGACGACGAAAATTAGTTACAGTGACATTTCTCTGCGACACAAGTAGTCCGTGTATAATTGGTTTGTAAAGATGTGTATCTATCCTGTGATATTGATCGTTTTACACAGGCGTCTTATCAGGGAATGCACAACTAACAAACGTAACAGTTTTGCAAGCACCAATGTGGCAAAGGGTGCGGTTCTGAGCTACACTTTCACGGTCTTCTCTGCAGAGAACAATATCTAATCAACATATTTGTTAGTGTGAATATTTCAATATCTTAATGTTAATCTCAAACTGACATTTTGTTATCGCGTCGAAAACAATAATATTTCTTGTTCCTTCTGACGTTGCATGGAAACCGTGATTGCGAACGCAGCAGGAACAAGTACACGGAACGATTTTCTGAGGCTCTGTTTGAATAGGGCGACGTGCCAAGCGGCAGGGAGTGGGAGCCGAACCATGACGTGGCATCCCTTTTTTTCTTTCTTTCTTCCTTTCTTTCTTTCCCTCCGATTTTATGACTTCCTGTTTATAATAGGGTAAGGAGTTTACAAAAAAAAAACAACAAAAAACAAAAAACAAAACAAAACAAAAAAAAAACGGAATTTACAAGTTGTAAAAATTTACTTGTTTGTTATTATTATTATTATTATTATTATTATTATTATTATTATTATTATTATCTGTTATTTAAAAACTTGTTTGACCATATGAATCTGAAAACCCCAGCAAATCTAGATAAAAAGCAAAAGGGGAATTGGCTATATCCTCTAATAATGACTAAGGTATAGGCAGCAAGTACTAGTTCAACTGTTCAGTACACATCACAGCCAACATTCCTCCTGCGAAATTTTACCCCTTTTTCCGACACTTACACTTCACTTCCTCTATGGCACTGTGCAAAACAATGAACCATGAGCCAAACAATATAATGGAATATCACTTAAGGCAAAATCAACAACATTAAAAAAAAACGTGAATAGTTTTAAGCTTAGTAACAAGTCTAGACGTTGATATAGACTACAGTATACTCCGTGGCACCGGGATCTAACTAGAACTATTTCAGTCAGGAAGTAGATAAGAAAAAACCCTCTCTAAGTTGGAATGATTTCTTAGCAATGGAGAGTGAACCGAACGGGTAGAACCTTTTTTTCAGCTTCAACGCAATGAGCAAACAGGTGCATTTTCACCTCGGCAGTCCTGCTGTATATTCAGTATATTTTGAGTACTCTTAGCTATGCGGGTTTATGAATATCCCAAGCGAGCTGTGCATATTACCTAATATTTGTGTCTGACAAAGGTTGATTTGTAATATATGCCACGACGGTCCATAAAATCAGCGTTTGTTTGCGTTGGAATAGCCGTTATGTTTACCCGGTAAATGAGTTCCTCGTTTAGGCAAGGGGCGCATTTGTCACATGGGCTGTAGGCAAAATCCGTCAACTGAACTGTACGTCAGCTGAGTGTCAACTCAGGTGCATTATGTGCTACATAGCGTGACGCAGATTACACAGAGGCAGAGGAGCGGTGACCTATGTGGCATACAGATAGGCATCAAGTGGTTGTGCCATAGTGAAATATTGATATTAAACGACCGCAGGCACCACGTATGGGACTATGCAGGAGCGGAGGACGGTCCTTGGTCCCTACAGTGGCGGAACGAACCAGTCACTTTGACGGGAGGTGAGCAGGTTGCTGCTATTATCAACGTATTCACCAAGACATAAAGAGAATTTTCAAGCCGACTTCGCGCTGTGAAACGGCCATTGAAACGGGTTTATGAAGTTCAGAAACTTATTGAATTTCCCTCTGTACAAGTTGCCAGTGCCAAGCTTTAGCAACGCAGTACAGATGACAGCTGGACTCCCTCGGTGACGATGGGCCATGGAAACAGCAGACAACTTTCCTGTCCCGGGGAGAACAACAGCAATAATAACACCAAGAGAAGAATCTCGCGTAACATTGATGACAGCGATTTCAAAATACTGAATCTAGAGGCCAAAATCGACGACAGGCCCATCGAGATTAAGGAAACGGAAAAGGTGTTGATATATATAACGCCGAAGTTCAGGTAATTATAACCAGAAAATAACTCGAGCATGTTGGAACTGGGGGAACGATGTAGCGTACGCATACCAGTTCCAGAGCTTTGCTCAGTGATATATTATGTATGCTGTGTACACAGCTAACCGCCACTTATTCATGCGTGTTGAAAAGTAATAGCATCAATCCTTTCCCTGATGGATCGTATTATATAAAAAGGATTATTGGATCTTTTCGTCGTGATTAGAAATAATATCCAAATACATAATATATACATAATATAGAAATAGTCGAAGTGCTGTCCCCCACGGTAGCCCTATAAAAGTCATAAAACGGCGATCCTTGTCACATATAAATTTTGGGTTTGTACACCCCTCCACTCTGCCTCCTGCTGGTGATGCAGGTACTCGTTATGTTAGACTACAGCCCAACCTTCACCCCCCCCCCCACATACACATACACAAACGCGCGCTCGCGCGCACACACACACACGTAGGAAAGGGGAAATAAGGAGGTAGACCAGCTTATTATCTTAACGAGAAAGCCTATTATTTTAATAAGTGCATAGTGACGGATAGTTCAATATTTAGAGACGAGGTTTATCGAATTTATGTTAAATTTCCCCCATACGTAAACCCCACCTTCATCAGTCGGAACTTGTACGGTGCGATTTTCACGTTTGATAAATGCATGTTTGAACACTCGTGACGTCAGTCTTTGTTGTGGCAGTCTAAAGAGATCCCATCATATTGTAATGTAAATATTTGGGATCTCTTGAGGTATGTTGGCTATGATTCATAGTATTTCGATCAAATATAAATGCAGAACATGCATAGGCCTACAGCTGCATGGCTCCAATACCGTCAGCATTGTTATTTAGGTCTCTGCCATGTAAATGTCATCGGTTCTCTTAAATAAAATTTGGGCTTAACCACCAAAGTAATATACTTGGTTTCCCATCATTTCTAGTAATGAAATGACAAACCGAAATACGGGTCGGGCGTTGTGGTCATTTCTTTTTCAAGTTGTATTCATTGTTAAAGAAAGGCCTACGGGCTGCAGACGAACTATTTCGATGATTCAGAGCCGTTTATCGTGCTTCAGATAACCGCATCCTGGATACGCAGCACTGACTCCTTGTGCGATTCAAACGTCTGGGGGGAAAGGGCTTGATAAGGCGGCCATGTACTATTTTTCCCGTTGTTATAAATCGCTCTCCTTTTTGCCTCTTTCCCCCCAAGATTTGATAACGCGATCAAACATCTACGGTAATTGCCAATCATGTTTTTGTTTATATTTATCTTTTGGGTCCTAGCTAAAATGTAAGTAAATATTATGAGTTCTAATTCTCCTGATAGAAATGCAGTCGATTGAGATTTTCATCAAACTCCCACGGACCAACTAACGCATTCTGAATATCCTGCTTTTCAGAGCAAGTGCCAAAATCCAAATCCCTCCTCTGCTTGAAGGCGAAGAATGGCAGATAGGATGGATCCAAGCTTGTGATTACATGACCTTTATTAATTACTATGGAAACCAAGGATGGTAAGTCTGAGAGAGAGAGAGAGGGAGAGAGAGAGAGAGAGAGCGAGAGAGAGGGTATTAGTGTTTCACACCTCATGTCATTCTCAGCGAACAGAGTTTAAAAGTATTCCTTGAAGCCATACGTTATAAATATACGATGGAAGAAAGAATGACAGGACTCGGTGGAAAGCAATGGCATATTTAAGAAGGTGAAAACACCTGCCTCAATTTAGCCTGAATCGTTTGGCTTGTCTGGCAATTTTTAATAGTTTACTGTTTCCCTAGGCCTAGGCCTGTTGCTATTTGGTAAGTGGCGAGACAGTTTGCAGGAATTCATTAAAATCGAGCAAAAGATAAACGTGTATTTCTGCTCCTTTATCAGGTTTACTACATTTTTTTCTCTTTTACTTCAGTACGTCATGGGAGATCCCCCAGTTGCGAGCTTCCAGCAATAACGAAAATGCTTCCAGGAAATCTGTGATGATCAGTGACTCTGATGGCCGTTTTTACCCGTGGTACGGAGAGACCACGGAAGTCGTCTGCGTCCAAGGACCCGAACATTCCTTCCGCACAGTACGTGTTGCCATGGACGATAATTTTTCTCCAAAAGTCGCCTGGTCTCTCACTGGAGAATACCTCAAACCGAACCTGACCAAAATCCATCGCTCACAGAGTTTTTACACGTGGCTGGCCGCACGAAACTCAAAAACGGGATTTATCGTCCCATTGAAGACGATCCGATGGAAAATTGAGCTTGATATCAAAATCAATCGTAGGAAAGGTCTCGGGCATCGAGCAACAGACACGTCAAACTTTGAAATAACAATCCAAGAGAAAAATAGGGCAATTCCTAATGAGATTTTGGGATCTCCAAATGCCAATTCCGCTCAGACGTTCGTTTGGCTTGGGAAAAATGGCGAACGGCGTATTATTCTTCCAGCAAAATCAGAATGGACAAGTAAAGAAGAAAAAGAACCTTTATAACAGTTGTTACGCTTACCTTAAAGGCTTTTTAAACGTTTAGGGATATGCATTTTGTTGTCCTATTTTTGTTATTGAGATAATGATGTGATGCTTGTACAACGATTCATTTTATATTGATATATCGAAGACAATTTTGATAATGGAAATGGGTCAGTGACCATAAAGAGATGACATTTTTATTTCTCTCTCACTGTCGACTGTGTCCGTCAACGGCACTTGCGCCATGGTGATAACTTTAAAGATAAAATGGGTCCAATAGTAATAATTCCTTTGAGTGCCTATATCATTCCAAAGTTTTTTTTTATCTTTTTGTAACTCACGATAATTTATCACCTGAATTTGTCATGTAGACACCATTGCAAGGGTTATGATATTATCATTTATTTTCAATTGCTCAAGTTAACAGATACAAATTACTATTGCTCTCTCTATGCAGGTTAAGGAAAAACATCAAGTAATTATTCATCTATGTTAGAATATTGTTAATATTTTGGATGGGTAAATAAAGAGCACCAAACTTACGCTGTTGTAACTAGAGGTAATTTGACAAAACTCGCGCATTTTTTAAGGAAGACGTTTCATAACGGCAAGAGAATCGGGGGGGGGGGGGGGGGGGTCCATTTTGGTTTTCCATTTAGACAGTTTTACCTGCAGTAAGATCCAAATAAAACACCGAATATGTCAGTTGGCAGAAATTTTTTAAATTATAAAATTTTTTTTGGGAATTTCATAGTATTTTTTTTTTGGTCTGTATCACATGCAGATATAGTATATGGCAATATAAGCAAGGCACTAGTTTCCAATATTTTTTTATTATTCATTAATGATTGCATTTTAGATGAACATTTATAGAACCACATAAAACCATCTTTTAAATGACATTTTAATGTTGCGAATTTAAAATACCTGGATAACGCTTTGCAAATATATACCCAGCTGACAATCTCGCTTCTTTCATTTTACTTACACACACACATGCCGCTTCGAAAAGCACGGCTACAATGAAACTTCACCTTGCACGTGCGGCAGCATCCCCTATACAGATACGTTTTAATTGTTAACAGATCAAAATACCCCTTATAAGTACAAGAATTAAGTTATGAACCTTACTTCCACGTACGTACTTAGCAACTCACATACATGGACCCATAGTCAGAAATTTCTCATACTCAGACTTTAATGAGTGCAGTCCAGCAATAGAGCAAACAAAATCATGCAATTTCGCCTACAAGCGTGAAAACTGTCAAGCTGTAGAAAACAGTATCAAATGTTTTTCCATATGGAGAAAATTCTGAAATTTGTGACACCAATGATGACAAGTTCAAAGGCATTTAATACCTAAAAACCATCAGAAAAACGCAATTTTTTCACAGCATCCCTGTAGTGTGGTCAATTCATTTGAGTGTGAGACAGCTTATGAGTTGGGTTCGAAAAAATCTACACTACCATTATTTTCATACCAACAATAAACCATTCAACATTTTAAAATTACTTTCTATTAGTGGATTTCACCAGTCTTAGTGGCAAACTAATTAACTACAGTGAATGGCAAGAATCACACAGTTTACCATACTTTCCCAAAGTGCAAGTCTTACTGAATAATAAACCATGGTAGACCTTTTTATCACTTCAGAAGCATTCAGCTCACAGAAACAGAACTCATCCTACTGGAAAAGACTAACTTGCTAACAGTGGCACTTGTTCAGGGACCTCCTAAATCTAAACAAGTTTTCAGAATGCCCATTACTTCAACTTCTGATTCTCCCCCACCCCCCAAAAATAAAAGCGAAAGAAATATATAGATTTATATATATACTTATAAATATATCTTCCTCGGTGACATCTGTCCCTTATAAACTGCCCACGACATCATTTAGAGTACAAGTAGCCTGCACTGTGCCAAGCTTAAAGCAGTCGCTTATTGTGCAGGTGAAAATATTCTGAATTGATGAAAACCCCTTTAATACAGCAGTCAATAGACTACTAACAATCTACACATGACAAAGTTCATTAACTTCAAAATAAGGTCAATACATATCAATTTCGGTCTCTGTACAAGGTGACTGACCTAATGGAAGTGTTCATTATATTACAGAGAGACTATGAGACTAATACAAAAGATAAAATGAGTTCCACAGGCCCCATCTGAGCCCTGGTTCTCTCTAATAATAATAATAATTACAGACTTTTCAATATAGGAACAACTCACAGCAGGCCAAGTCTCTGCTGAAAGTGTGTAGCACACATTGCTGTATTGAAGGGCCTTGGTGTCCGCGACCTGGCTTGCCACTCCCTCTCTTTCCAGTATCAAATCTGTCAGCACTCACAGATAACATGCTATGAAGTCAAACCCGGTGACATATTAGGTTAGGATATTTTGGTGTCAAATAAGGGATTTACATGAAGAATACAACAAGATGGTTTTCAGTAGGCTAAAGGCAATATACTTAGGCAATCTGTCAAGTGCTTTAGTTCTAAGCATTTATAAATCCAATTCTTACTGCTGATTCCAATGTTTTATTGCTACACAAAAACAGGACACACTTGTTCTGGTAGTACAAAGTTGTACTCTCATTAGCTGGTGTGAAGATTTACCGTGTACATCAAACCCATATACCGCCTGGATAAAAATCTATAATCAGTTCATCATTCCAGTTATTCATGAGACGTAAACTTCATTTTTCTACTTGTATCTTTTTGCCTGTCAACCAAAAGTCGCAGCAATGTTACTTGGCACCATATAACAAATAATCTGCCATCACTGTGTCTTCTAATCACGACCAACAATGTGATAACATTACAATACAATAACGATGCTACGCTGGTGGCAATGTTACAATGTTAATGTCAACACAGTACAAAAATGACCAGGGCGGTAAGCCCGTTTTTAGTGGTGACAGATGAGAGGAGGGGGGACGATGACTTGTATTGTAAACTGATTTCATTGTGCTCGTGCTTGTGTCACAGGAGCTGCTGGAACTCTTTTCTGTACATCATCCAAACATCAGCAGTAAAAAGTGTTACTGCTGATGTTGTTGTTGTTGGTGTTGTTGTTGGTGTAGGGGACCGTTGAGAGCGCGGATTGAAGAGCTCTGTCCTAGCTTTCTACACTCGGCCCATGTTATGAATACACATGGCCCTCCAGGGGCACATAGCTTAATACAAGGCCAGTATCACTAAAGTGGAGTCTCTATGGTCTGTGGAATCTGAAGAAAATATATGTTATTTTTATTATAACATATTATTTTTATTTAATAACATGTCTTAATTTGTGCACGTGCCATACTTATTTATGGACTAATTAATCTGGGATAAGAACTAACTACAGATGAAAATGCAATTATTTCAACCACTAAAGAATAACGCTAACATTAATGTTATTTCAAGAACTAGAAGATCAGAGAGGCACAGGTATCTCCTAGGTAACCAGCCCAATTGGGTATTACAATAACAAAATACCAAATACTGGGACTCACCTGGTTAAATGTTTACTATCAGAGTGCACTTCCATTTCTGCACTTTTAAATTCATTAAGTTCTTTTCTTATGGCAGCCTGCAAAAATAATTGGTGTAAATTAATTTTGGTAAATTGTGAGCTTGGGTACTGTAAATTACAGTAATCATTAACAAAACATGTTCACCAAACATACTCGAACAATTTACTGCTGTATTTATGACAACAATGAGCACATTTAAGAATGAATCTCCACACCTTGATTAAACATAAAGACACAAAGTATCATGTCAACTTTTTTAAATATCTGTTAATTGTTTGTAGGCAGAAAGCTGACCAATTCCTTATTAGAAAAATTGAGACTAATTTGACTTTAACCTGTACTGAGTTTATCAATACAGAGGTGTCCTGTATTACAAGACACAGATAATCAATGACAAACAAATCAACTTTGAGCTAGCTGAGATTGGGGCAAGTCAGACATTTTCTTCAAAGATACCTTATCTCTAGGGGTGAGTCTGGTCCAAGGTTTGTCTGCCCTCCTATCATATTCCTCAGCATCTGTCACCTCTACATAGTCACTGAATTTGATAATCTTGCGCTCCTTCAGTTCCTCAATTGTTGGCCTAAAACTTAGCTGTAATGTGAAAGAGGAAACACATAAACATTTTTTTAATCCCTTAAAAAGTAAAGGAGCAAATTTTATTTGAACAAGGAAAAATCTTTATCTGTCCAAGTGGTAATTTTGCAGAGGAAACAATCTAGGTATTCTTAAAAAATAGAAAACTCTCAATAACTGTGAATATTTACATCAAACGATAACCGAGTTGTTTTTAAATCAACATAGCTTTAACGTGAATGAAAAATCCTCTTCCCTCACAGTGATCTCCCTATCAATTGTGTACCTGAACTTAATTTTCAAAATGTTTAAGTTTTAAAAAATTCCAAAATTTGCAACATGCAAAGAACCTAGGTCACCAGAGACAGGCTTACCTTTCTTGTTAGCACTTTCTTTTTCTCCTCTAATGTCAACTGCTCCTCTTCATTTGTTTTCACTGCAAGAAAAAATTGGGGGTAAAAAGCTGGTTTAAAGATCATTAGAGAAGTTCCGAATATCTTGAAATTTGTACTCAAGAAAAAGGAAAAAAACTAGAGCTCATAAGCCTGGCTCTTAGCAACAATAATATTTTTTTTACAAATCACAACCACCTAAGAAACTTTCAAATGTCAGATATAAGTAAATTTGTGAATCTCATTGTATGCACCTCAGGAGAAACAGAAGTGGATAAACAGCAAAAACGTATGTACTTACAGTGCAAAATATTTCTTTGCTCTAATTCTTCTTTTGTTGGCCTTAAACTCAACCTCCTATATAGTAAACAATAAATATGGCAAAAAGTCAAATATGCATAAATATCATATTACTATGCATACAATATCTTAACCACTTATTTAAAACAATATTTTTTGTTTTGTTTGGTACAATAAAGCAAAATTAATTTTTTTCTATGAAATTCCATTAATCAACCGTGGCAAACCTATAGTCTATTAAAATACTGAACATACTCAAGGAGCTTCCAATTCTGTTTAAATAACAAAACATACCTGTTTAATTTAACCTCTATTTCTTTTTTAACATGTTCTTTCTCTGTGCTAGTACAAGACGGGATGATGTTCTTGTCGACAAGCTCATTTTTCTGAGGACGGTTACTCAGAAAACGAGCAAGGCTATCTTTTCTGGCAACCTTAGAAGCTAAACTATCTGTAACAGGAATAAAACAGCACAATGAAGATCGATAAGTTTCCAAAGCACTTTGCAGTACATTCACACATAATTTCTGATTGGTCCCTTGATGGTTTGACAAACCTAAATCAAAATTATAACTGGTTCACAAATTCTAACCAATTAGTTGAATATATTCTGAACATGGCATATTTATCCGTAAGAACATTTCTTACTTAGTTCTCAATCTAGGAAATGTTCATCTGCCACCTAAATTTCGTGGTTTCTGTTCACTTACATGTGCTTTTAAACATGCTGATTGTTTTAAACTGCAAAATGATTCAACATCTGCTGTGTTGCATCAAAACCTGCAGTCACGTCATCTTTTAAATTGCATGTACAATCCTACTTATAGCAGCATAAATAAATGTTATTATTATTACTATAATTACCATCATCATCCCTATACTGTATGGGTTCATCATCAGAAGATGATTCACTGCCGTTTAAATTATCATAATCTGGAATATTATCTTCGTAAGTTTCCCCATTTGGCTGGTTCTCTTTGTTTTCTTGTTCTGTTATCCTGTAAATAATATCATTTATGCTACTAACTTTTTAAATCTATTCAACAGAAAACACTTTTCCTTTAAACTATTCAAATGGATTTTGCAATTTATATTCAATATCATCCCCAATTACACTAAATTATATGAAAATTAACAGCATGTTTGTTTAAAAGAGGTTTAGGTCACTTGCAAAAAAAAAATAAAAAAATAAAAAATACACTAAAAAGTATTGCTTTGATTTTCGCATAATAACGCATCTACTTACGTTTTCGACACAGAGACGGCCTTCAGTGACCTAGGTTTAGGCGTGGGTTTAAATCCCACCAACTTTGCCTTGGGGGTGGCCCCCTTGAGGGCACTCCTGACTGGCTGCTTGGACAGGTCTGGCTCCCTGACGGGGATTTCTTCAACTCTTGAGGTATCTACAGCATGACTACCCGGCAGGTGAAAGTTAACACCACCCGTGTCCTGACTACCCAGCGAAGGAGCATGCTGGACAACTAGCGTTGACGGAGCTGGACTTGCAGCAACCACTTGCTGCTGCTGTTGCTGCTGTTGTTGTTGTTGCTGCTGTTGCTGCTGCTGCTTTTGTTGTAGTTGTTGTATGAGTCTTTGTTGATCAGATTCAAATGGTACTGTTGTGGTTGTTGACATATTATTCAAATTATCGTAATCACAGTCAGTGCTTTCTCCACTTTCTACCTGCCCCGTGCTTCCAGCAACTTGATTTAATTTACCTGGAAATTACGAATTTCCTTGAGTTCAATCAAGAACAAAAATGACATCACTATTCTCATCCATTCAAGCTGTTATCAGGAGAAATCTTACTGAAATTTTGGTGGACAACTCAGAAATACCTCCAAGGTTTACTGTCCACAGGAAACCTACCTTTCAATGAAATGAGCTATCTAAAAATCAGAGACTTTTTCTAGTTCCAATTTTATAGAGCAAATGTGTGCCACTACACGGAGACTTCCACTGTAAACTGGCACTGACTGTAAAGGTTGCAATGTGTTCCTTGTTCAGTACACAATTTCCTACCCTCTTGTACAGACACCAGTGGTATTAAGTACTCACTGCCCTGGGTGTATCCTTCCTAGGAATCACTGCCACAATGACACCAAATCTCCTTCAAAAACATTTCATCTTTGGTTCAAAAACTAGTGAAATATCTGGTATCCTTTTTCACAATAAAATGTTCCGTTTTCCCAATACAATACTGGCTTGGCTAAGAAAATATTACTGGCCGAAAAATTTCAAGGCAACCTGCTGAAACACAAATCATGCTAACCCAAACAGTGTAATATAAGATACCAATTTATTCTCCAGTAGACAGTGGCATTCCCAGTGAGAATCACTCTTCAGGGTTTTAATTGCTGTACTTGCCATCTGCTGCACATATCCATACCCTCTTTAACATGCTCACTCAAGCTACCACATACTAAAATGTATTCTGAAAGGCAATGATCATATAAGACGTAGAATACCAAGGCACAGAAATGAGAATTTCACCCATTACCTACAGTCACCTACTCTGTCTGAACATAAAAATACTAGTAGGCTTTCAACTCCGAACTCCTTTTTTTATCATGTATCTGAAAAGATGCTTTTATGAAATAATAGCATCTGGTTGTCTGTGCAAGAGGCTTTCTACACTCGTGGTTTCCAGAAATGTTTTTACTTCCTAGAAATTGCTTGGAGTTGAAGGCACATGATGGAGGGAAATTAGCATAGTGTTCGGTAAACATGATTTGCAGGTTTATTCTCCACTGAGCCTCTTTTCTATAGGAAGAGCCACAATCTCGTGCACATTAAAGATAAACATCAACGAGAGAATGTCAACAGAAGCCCTTTCCACCTTAAGCAGCACATATGCATCTGTCTTAATCAATACATTTAGCAGGTAGATCATTATATCTTCATATATCACATACTGATTGCTTTCAGTATATTACAATAACAAGAATTGGGCAATATTTCCATTACTGTCAGAGCTCCAGAGACACAGACAGGCACAAATCACTGCCTTCGTACAAGTATTTTTTAAAACCAGTTTCAATATTGATTTTAAACAGCATGTTTTCATAGCACATGGAATTTATGCTAGGCATGTTTGTTTTAATTCTACTAACCCAATTTGTCAAGTGGGCATATAAAATAACATTAATCCATTTCCCTTTCTATTCTAACATTGTTAAGACATGCTGTGCATGCACAGAAAACCAACAGACTCAAGAACTTGATTCAAATGCCTAATATTTCCCCTAGTAGTTCATCATTATCATCAAGGCAAGACAATATATAACACTTAACATATGGCAGACAGACAGAAAAACTTGCGTGCCAAGTTGTAAATAAAAAGAAAACTTGAATCAAGAAACAATGCCTACATTTCTCCAAAATAGACACACCTATTACAGATACTCCAGAACATATCAATAATTGCACATATTGTGCAAAATATCTCCCTACATTACCTGTAACTGTGATGGCTTCTTCTCTCTGATATTTCACCTTTTATTTTACTGTGTCAATATTGGCAAATGGCTTGAATAAACTGAAACTGGGTGTAGTGCACAAGTGCCAGTGTTAGCGTGCACATCCAGAACGTCAGGTAAAGCTAAATCCCACAACATGAGAATCTCACCTCTAGGAACCATTTTCAATGACAAAAACAAGCCAGCTGAAGCTGACAAATGTACAGCTCTGAACCTTTTAGGTAACAACCTACTTCAGTCTAAACACTAAGACATATTCCTTTTAAACAAGATGAGACTCTAACATCTTTCTTGAAAAACAGGTAAAACACTTTGCTGAAAACTACTTAGGCCTTTTTTAAAGCAATGCCGAAAAAAAAANATGACACCAAATCTCCTTCAAAAACATTTCATCTTTGGTTCAAAAACTAGTGAAATATCTGGTATCCTTTTTCACAATAAAATGTTCCGTTTTCCCAATACAATACTGGCTTGGCTAAGAAAATATTACTGGCCGAAAAATTTCAAGGCAACCTGCTGAAACACAAATCATGCTAACCCAAACAGTGTAATATAAGATACCAATTTATTCTCCAGTAGACAGTGGCATTCCCAGTGAGAATCACTCTTCAGGGTTTTAATTGCTGTACTTGCCATCTGCTGCACATATCCATACCCTCTTTAACATGCTCACTCAAGCTACCACATACTAAAATGTATTTTGAAAGGCAATGATCATATAAGACGTAGAATACCAAGGCACAGAAATGAGAATTTCACCCATTACCTACAGTCACCTACTCTGTCTGAACATAAAAATACTAGTAGGCTTTCAACTCCGAACTCCTTTTTTTATCATGTATCTGAAAAGATGCTTTTATGAAATAATAGCATCTGGTTGTCTGTGCAAGAGGCTTTCTACACTCGTGGTTTCCAGAAATGTTTTTACTTCCTAGAAATTGCTTGGAGTTGAAGGCACATGATGGAGGGAAATTAGCATAGTGTTCGGTAAACATGATTTGCAGGTTTATTCTCCACTGAGCCTCTTTTCTATAGGAAGAGCCACAATCTCGTGCACATTAAAGATAAACATCAACGAGAGAATGTCAACAGAAGCCCTTTCCACCTTAAGCAGCACATATGCATCTGTCTTAATCAATACATTTAGCAGGTAGATCATTATATCTTCATATATCACATACTGATTGCTTTCAGTATATTACAATAACAAGAATTGGGCAATATTTCCATTACTGTCAGAGCTCCAGAGACACAGACAGGCACAAATCACTGCCTTCGTACAAGTATTTTTTAAAACCAGTTTCAATATTGATTTTAAACAGCATGTTTTCATAGCACATGGAATTTATGCTAGGCATGTTTGTTTTAATTCTACTAACCCAATTTGTCAAGTGGGCATATAAAATAACATTAATCCATTTCCCTTTCTATTCTAACATTGTTAAGACATGCTGTGCATGCACAGAAAACCAACAGACTCAAGAACTTGATTCAAATGCCTAATATTTCCCCTAGTAGTTCATCATTATCATCAAGGCAAGACAATATATAACACTTAACATATGGCAGACAGACAGAAAAACTTGCGTGCAAAGTTGTAAATAAAAAGAAAACTTGAATCAAGAAACAATGCCTACATTTCTCCAAAATAGACACACCTATTACAGATACTCCAGAACATATCAATAATTGCACATATTGTGCAAAATATCTCCCTACATTACCTGTAACTGTGATGGCTTCTTCTCTCTGATATTTCACCTTTTATTTTACTGTGTCAATATTGGCAAATGGCTTGAATAAACTGAAACTGGGTGTAGTGCACAAGTGCCAGTGTTAGCGTGCACATCCAGAACGTCAGGTAAAGCTAAATCCCACAACATGAGAATCTCACCTCTAGGAACCATTTTCAATGACAAAAACAAGCCAGCTGAAGCTGACAAATGTACAGCTCTGAACCTTTTAGGTAACAACCTACTTCAGTCTAAACACTAAGACATATTCCTTTTAAACAAGATGAGATTCTAACATCTTTCTTGAAAAACAGGTAAAACACTTTGCTGAAAACTACTTAGGCCTTTTTTAAAGCAATGCCGAAAAAAAAATGAGCAAAGAAAGAGCTGCTGCTTGCCTACAGCACACCTGCAAGATTGACAGACACAACTGAAATCCAAATTTACCGTCATTGTTGTAACCATAAAAAATCAACAGAAGTAAAAAGAACTGATTTTTCAAATTTTCTTGATTTAACTTCTCATTTACAATGTTCAACCTATCACAATGTATCACCTTTCAATCACAAACCTTCATCACTCAAGTGATCTAGACTGTGATCCATGAAGAGTCCTGCAGAGGGCTTTGTAAGTGGATGCAACTTTGTTTTAAGTATAACAGTATTAGTCCAGAGAACTCTCGCTGAATGAAATCAGGTTAACAGATTAACACACCCTTAGATCTATTCTTCTATTCTTAACATCAGAAGTACTTACTTGCTTACATAAAGTTAGTGGAGATTGCCAACAGCTTCAGATGACAGAAAGTTTAGATGAGTTTAAGATGAAATTGTCAACAGGATTCCAAAAGTAACACAGATGGACTTCTTTTATGTCAGGGGGAAAGGCCCACTCAGAATGATAATTCAGTCTAAAAAAGGTTCTAAGCCATTAGGCAAAAAGGTCCATTTTTTCCAGAAAAAAAGACCCCCCTTTTTGAAATTGTTTGTTACAGGCCTAATGGATTTAATTTTCATGAATATTTACCAATACAGAGAAGAATACAGTACAGTTTAAAAGCAAGCAGTCCTACTCACTGTGATCTGATGGTGACTCTGGCTGTTGCACATGAGAAGGCATGACAAACACCTGGACAGGTGGCGCTGGCGCTGTGTCTCCCCCTGGTGACTGGACAGCAGTGGCAGGCGAGGTGGGCGAGCTGGCAGGAACGTCCATCAGGACAGGGTGAATCTGGGAGGTGCATACTAAAATCAAAAACAGTAGGCAAGAATGAATGCACCAGTAACAGACTATAGTAATTTTTGCTAAAACATGTATGGTTTTATCTGTATAGATGGTAGACGTATTTTTTAAACGAGAGTGAAAGTGTTAGTATAACAGTTTTGGTTTCTTCTAATACAAGTCCTGATATGTGTAAGAGGTTTCAAAACCATATCTATAAAACAGCAGTGATATTTTGGAATATTGGAAACAATGCTTAAAGTATAGATTATAATGCCAAATTAC